GCATTCCTTCAACTCTTGCTCTGGTTCTGATGGTGTTTGGATCTGCAATGAACCAGGTTGACTCACTTACCCAGAATAAAATTGAATAGATAAAAATGGGGGAATTTTGACTTGGGTTAATAAGTTCAATCATCTTCACAAAGGGCCTGAGGAATGCTGTGCATAGTGAAAGTTGATGGAGAGGGAGAATGATGACTCTTAGGTAGTAGAGATCTGTTAGATCCCCTTAGCTGCCTCTTCCACCTCCCCAGCCAGGACACCAGGACATGGGTCTACAAGACTTTAAAGCACTCCAAGTGGGTCTTGCTGTCCTACCCTGCTCTGCAGTGACATGGTGCCCTGCTCTTTCTGTGCACCAGCAGTTGTGTCCACTGGCCCTGTGATGAGCTGGTAGAAGTATATTCAGTATTTGTATGATTTTAGTTAGGTCTCTCCCAGCATCTTGAGCTGATTCTTCAGGATGTCAAGTAAACACAAGTGATAGTTGAAAAATGTGCAGGAAAGCGTGGGGACACAGGATGTGAATGAGCTCTCACAGGGGCAGTTTAGATTACTTGAAGCTGTAGGCTTCACTGCTACCACAACCTGCTTTCTCCATTTTTGTTTCCCCTTTGCTTGGATGGATTTGGGAGGCACAGTTACATTTTCTGTAAGTGACTGATTTTTCATCTGTACAAAACCATACATATACAATGGACCTAACTCTGATATCTGGGTTGTAAAACTCCCTTTGTACCCACAGGATACTGAGAGCAGGCTACAAGAAGGTGAATCTACCTCAAGAACAAAGGTACATTAATAATTTTAATAAGAATGTACTCAGACATGACAACTAAAACCCAAATCACCAACTCATGTTTACTCATCAAAAATATCTGCAGCTGGTCTAAAGAATTTGATGAGGTACAGAAATCAGCAAATAATTTGTCATAGACTCTGACAAGACTAAATCAGATTGTAAAAAATGGATGGACCTGTATTTCCAGGCTGATCCATGTGTCAAGTCCAGTGTTACGGAAATGTTCCAGCACTGTTCCCATATGTACCACAGATCATACTTTCACTGCTTGCTACTTTGGGCATACCTCTTGTAGTCAGGTCTCCGTACTTGACTGAGTTTGTGGTGTGGGTGTGAGCTATGCACTCCTTCTGTGTGCCTGGGACTGCTAAAGGCCACTGGAGGACTAGAGAAGACATTGTCTCTGATTTAGCAGTAAAACCTGTTTTCATTACTAGGTCTCAGGTACTGAAGACAGCCCAAATCCTCCAGTAAGGGAGCTTTCAATAAGACATTGTTTGTTCTGCTGCACTGTCAATAAGATGTCATTACTTTAACTGCAAGATAAGAAAGGATTTGTTAATGGCTCCTCTAGGGGGATGGTGACATTTTTTCCCTCTTATAGATCACTGGGGGAAAAATACAGGAGCAGGATGACAAGGAAAGAAAGTCAGTTTGGCACTTTTTTTCTTTTCTTTTTCTTTTTTTTTCCATTAAAAAAAAAAAAAAGTTATCTATGCTTCTCAATAAAAGCTGTAAGTTATGAAAAACAGAAATTCAGCCTTTTTCTTTTATTTGTAGTCATGTGCAAAACCATGTGATATAATGTTAAATGTTCATGTGCATACACTTTTTTAAGAGACAAAAAGAAATAGCTTATCATATTTTAAAAAGAAAACTGCTGTGAGCAGTAACAGGTCTATAACCTATCATTAATCTGGAGGTACGGTACTCCAGGAGAGGCAGATCAGTTTTTGCCTTTCCCAGGTCCAAGTAAGTAGTTACTAATTAACAGCAGATATAGCAAGAAGTTTTCAGTCCTTGCTTTGGCATAGCTGTCAGTGCTGTAGCCCGGGGGCTGTGTGGCTGGGCATGGGGCTGCTGCTGCATCGCCCTGCGACCTCTGCCTCTGGCCAAAACCTCCTGCAAGTGCCCTTGTCTGGTGTCACCTCTGTCCCAGGCTGCACGGCTGGCTCCTGCACGTTGCTGCCATGAAACTCCCTCATTGTCCTGGGGCTTTCGGAGACCAGGTGACATTCTGGCAGTCTCTGATAGAACAATGACATATTTTTTGCAAAACCACATTTAGGACAATGATAAAGGGCCCGATCCTGTGAGGTTTTAGCTCTCTATAATTGTCTATATAGTTAAAGATATGAGCACACAGACAGCATGTCTGAACTTGGAAAATTCATTTGGCTTCAGGTGAAGCCTGAGCTCAAAGCACAATAGCTACACCTGAATAGGGATATTCAGAGGACACAGAGCAGGTGCCAAGACCAGACCTGCTTTTTTGCAGCTGTGCAGGGGATTCTTAAAGGCACAAGCCTGCCCATTCATCTGTGTAACCAGCTTAGGCAGGCAGGCAAGCCTCTCTTTTTTAAACTCATTAAAGTAACTACGGGATGAGAAGCCCATTTGGCTGTGTTTTGGTAGATTTTTTGGGCCAGAGGCTTCCCTGAAGTAGGGCTACCTCTCCCACCATCTCATCTCTACTTCCCACCCTGCGGGACCCTCTGTCAGGCTGCCCGTGTGGCCACAGCCACGCATGCCAGCGCAGCCACCGTGCCAGCACGGGCATCCCTGCCAGCCCATCCATCCGTGCGGCTGCGCTCCCCTGCCCAGGGCACAGCTGCACAAACACGGAGGCTGGCAGCAGGCAACCCCAGGGCGGCAGGGAGAAGGCAGAGCCCCTGCCTCCTTATGCTGGCACGGCTGGCAAAATATTTTCACATGAGAAGTAATCTTAACCCCTGGCAGCCTGGGTACTCTGAGCTCTATAAAACTCAAGAACACGACAAACCCCAAGCACCCTCAAACCTGAGTGGAGGGGATGGATATTGAGGGCTGAATGCCAGGCTGGGGGCATCAGGCACAACTTCCATTGGCCTTTCTGGCTCCAGCAAGTGAAGATCCTGCAGTGCCCATCCAGAGAGGCTCACAAGTTACTGCTCACTCTGAGCAGCCAGACCGGTTTAGAACGTGACTGCATGAATGAGCACAGTATGGCTGTAACAGGACACCAAGTGGGTCCCAGAGAATGGGAGGTAAGACGATAGCTGCAGGTGGCTGTGGACCCCAGCACAGCTTGCTTAGGCACTTGTGGGCATCATAATTTCTCAAAAAGCTGAGAAATTACGTGAGAGACTTACACGGATACTGTACAAATACCTAACATCCCCCATCCTGATATTATGTTAATGCTATCAGAGTTGGTTGTAATTTCTCTTGTGTAGCACAATTTAAGTTATGATTTTCTCCCCCCACCTTGTGCTCCCCCCAACTCTCTCTTCATATGCTAGAGGTGGCTTTTTGGTGACCTGGCCTGTGCGTGCTGCACTTTGGAATGCAGTGGGATTTTCTCCTTAGTCTGTGTTGTGTACTTTTTCTTCTTTTTCTTTCTCTTCAGCATTTAGAATATTACCATAGCATACATATTTTTAGAGAAGAGTCTCTCTTGATACAATTGATACAATTCCTGACTGATTAACTATAAGTTTAATCTCAGCAATTAGCATTGTTTTTACAGGATGTATCAGAGAATGCAGCAGAAATTGTAGAAAGCAATTTTAAAAGACTCTTGTTTTGAGGCACTTCCAGCTTGTCAATAAAAACCACTTTCTTCAACTTTCCTAAAAATAATTTTTTACTATTAGCAGGCTATTAAAACACATCATTTTCTTATGAGGAAAATATAGCTCCAAGCTGTGCTGAGGTTATTTATTACTAACTACATCCATATCTTTTCAGTGTTTTGCATACCTGCTACTGATCCATGCTTGAGGTCCACAAAAATGCAAATAAAATAAAACTTGCAGTCACCATCACTTTCTCCCCTGTATTGGAAAAGCAGCCTTATGTAACAGACTGGAAATGACAGGTAGGCATACCAGAGGAAAATCTAGGCTTGGTGTGAATTGCTCATACCTTTGCTGACATCTCTGGTGATGTGCAGGCAGAGCACAATAACAGGGTTGGGTGTTCCAGGTGGGGCAGAACACAGTGTGCTTTCATCTGGTATATAATGACTATCCAAAATCAGTGCACTTCATCTGTTCTGTGACAGAAAGAATCACACTCTAGTATTACCAGAAATAAAATGCTATGCTTTGACTATTTATATTAAGTAAAAAACAACTAAAGTAGAAAAATAACTAAAGCCTGTTGTTTGAACAATTTTAAATGTGTAAGTCAATTCAAAACTGCATGATCCTCATATGGATTTGGGCTATGGGGATACTTTCTGCTTGTAGGACAATAGTCCTTATTATGCTTTATTCTAAAGTTTCCATTGTTCTTGCTCTGACAAAGCCAAATTGAAGCAAGAGTGGCAGGGCAATGTGGGTACTGGCATCAGTAAGACACATAGCCCTTAGCAGAAAACAGACTGGAAGTGGTAGTATTTCTGCTTCTACAACTGTCATAAAGCTGCAGAAAGCAGATCCTGAGAATCTGTGTGAAAACCAACACACTGCAGTGCAAAGAAGGTCTCTATTTAAAATTACCCTCTAACCTTTCTGTTTTCTAAGCCTTAGGAAAGGATTTCCTGGAAGCAGAGAGCAAGACCCAGAGCAGAAGCAGAAGAGAACTGATGGCTGGGTGGCAGGGAGGGACAGGGTGGACTGCCTGGAGGTGGGAGCATCCCAGACTCGATCCAGATGAAGAAATAAATGATGACTCTGAAACACAACACAGGGTTTATCATGACAGGAGTGAAAGTTTATAAAGACCTAAACTGTTTATTTGTATGAAAGCATAATGGTCCTTGTCATCAACGTGGTGTTGAAAGGAATGACTTCCATCTAGGGGATGCAGAAAAACCCAGAAGATAAATTTCAGCACTAGTAACAGTTTAATGGAATTAGATTGAAAAAGAGGATGAATATGGAAATTAGACTGGGATGACACTGTAATAATTTAAGTGTAGCATTTGGCAGCAGTGGTATCATTCAAGGAAAAACAAACAACACAAATCAACATCATATGTATTGATATTTTAAAATAGACTTTATTTAATGACAATAAATATAAAGAAATCTTAATATTCAGAAACTAATTGCAAACATTCTTAGAAAAAATAAAAAATACACTCTTACATTCTGAATTTATTGACATACACAGAGTCTAAAACAGTGGTGATAGTCTGTAATTTATGGTGCTTGTTAAGGCAATGAAATGGTCACTGGTCCAAATTCACCCTGACTTCAACAGATCTGTACAAAGTAGGAGTCTGATCTACATATCAAGTGTAGAAAAAAGGTAAAATGGAGTCAGAGTTTAAAACAAATGCTGATTTTCCCTTCAAACAGATTTTTAATTAAAGTGACAAAGGCTAAAAAAGAAATTACAAATACTCATATGTTGGCAACTGGCCCCCAGCATTTTGTTCTTAAGCCTCCACAGAGCTTCCGGCATACAAGCAGAACACATTTCAGCAGCTGGAGGTAGAGGCTTCAGAAGCTGCACAGCTTAAATCAAACTATTAGAATGCAATTATTAGGCACTGTGTTGGTTTCCCTCTTCTTTCTCTGATTCAGAGTGCTGTGAATAACACTGAGCACATGGCAAACTGAACTGAATTCCTGATGTAATGTCTTCCGAAATGAAATGTTACAGCTACATTAGCAAGGAGCATGGCATTTCAGAAGCAAATCACTGGAGCAAACTGTTAATGTTGGCTAGGTGATGCCCCTGCAGAGCTCACCACTCTCTTCAGCCCAGCTCTGGTTTCAGCAGACTAAGGGCCTGTCAGTGACCATTAAGAGCATATCTAAAAGCTGCCTTCTGGGTCAGTTTGAGCCGAAAGGAACTCAGTCCATGTGTGCCCAGAATGATCTGTGATGTCTCCCAGAAAATGGAGACAAGTGGAAGACTGGTTTCCAAGCACATTTGTCAGCTGAACAAAAAAGGTTACACAGAAACACACTCTGGATTGATTAGGATTTTATTATGGGAGGAGCACAAGCCATAGGCACATAGGCTTTGCTGATGTAGCAGGTTTTTTAATTGTTATTTTAAAGGCAGGAATATAAACTCTTTATGACACTGAGGGCTAACTCCCCTTTAGGAAATGATGCCAACTGATGTAGAAAGAAACAACTTGGAGAGTCCCTAGGTATCAAATAAGGTGCATAAGTTTAGTACTTCTGAAAATCAGCCTTAAGCTCTGCCACTGCTCAAAATATGACAATAAGTTTGTTTGCTAGTCTCTTTAGCTCTCAAAGAGCTTCCTTAAGACCAAATAATTACCTGAAATGGTCCACTTTGTGCTGCATTTCCCCTCCTTTATCACAGGATGCCTCCTTATCTGCCCCAGCCCTCTAACACCACGTCTGGAAAGGTATTTAAGGCACACTGGTGCTGTGATCACCGATGAGGGAATAAAAATGGCATCTCTCATTTGAACACGATTGCAAATGAGAAAGGTCCAGTTGAAAGTTAAAATCAAAAGCTCCAAGCATGAATGGAGCCAACTGTCCAATCTGACTCATTTTCCACAGGGAAATTCTGAGTACTTCACTAAAATTTTTCCTTGAAACAGTATTTTTTGACGAAAGTTGGTTTTAACTGAAAGTTTGGTATATTATGCAGTGACAGGACCAGAGGCAGTGGGCAGAAACTGAAACACTTTTTCACTGTGAGGATGACTGAGCAGTGGCACAGGTGGCCCAGAGAGGTTGTGGAGTCTCCATCCCTGGAAATATTCAAAGGAGAAGACCAGCCTGGCTGAACAGAAAGCTTTGGCTGGAACTCAGGTAGAAAAGGAGAGTTGATGACCTTTGAAAAAGGGGCATTCAGCTCAAGAAGAGAGATCTTTTATTGGATGTGGTAGAAAACACACAGACAAAAATGAGGAAAGGGCTGAGGTACTCAATGCCTTTTTTGCCTCAGTCTTTAGTAGTAAGACCAGCTGTTCTCTGAGAACCAAGCCCCTGACCTGGGAGATGGGAAGGGAGCAGAATGAAGCCCTCACAATCCAAGGGGAAATGGTCCATGACCTGCTACACCACTTAGACTCAAGTCCCTGGGGCTGAATGGGTGCTGATCTGCTCACAGCTTGGGCAGACCTACTGCTGGCTAGATAAAAAACTGGCTGGATGGCTGGGCTCAGAGAGAGGTATTTAAGACATGTAGATGTGGCACTCAGGGACATGGTTTAGTTGTGGACTTGGCAGTGTCAGGTTAATGGTTAGACTTGATAATTGTAAAGGTCTTTTCCAGTCTGAATAATCTTGTGAATCTGTAGGGTTTGCTCAAAAGACGGGCTTGAGTTACATGGCACTCAGTATTTGGAGATGTTGCTGCAAAATTCGTAGGTTTAATTCCTTCTGATTATTGACTGGGTAAAATGCATCTTCCAAATGCTATTTAATTTCTGTAGATGGACTTCATATTTAAAAAGCTGTATGAATAATCTGTATAAAAATTCTGCATACCTATTGCATTTAAGAAGAGTACAAAATTACAAACATAAAGTAGTCACCTGGTTTATAGAGCACAGGCATATTTTTCTTTTTTAAAAAGGTTTTGGTTTTCGTGATTTATATAAATTTGTTCATTAAAACTGGTAAAAAAGAAAGCAAGTTAATAATCTGCAATATCACTCCTTCAGGCACAAAATAGCTCTCCACATACGTGTCTAATCTGTAATTCCCTAATTCCCAGTTTGCAGCTGGAGCTAAAATAAGCGGGGAGATCAGCAGCCTGATTTGGAGATGGCTGATGGCTGTAGCACATGCCTCCACACCTCTGACATCCTTCCATATTATTCAAAGCTTCACAGCATAGTTAAGGCCTATTAAATGGTTTATTCCAATCTCCAATTCCAATAGATTCATAGTCTTGTCAGAACTCACTCTATCACACAATGTTGTATCAAAATGTTCAGCTGCACATTTGTCCTATGTCAAAACCTCAGGGAAGAGCATGTTCTGGCGTGAGAGAAATGCAAAAGACAGCCCTCCACAAATATTGATTTAGTATGTGAAAAGACTTTTAACACTTATTGCTTTTACAAGTAGGAGACCTTCAAGGCTATGAGCATTTAGCTCAGAATGGGCGAGTGAACTAATGAAAGTACATTGACTGGGAAAAGATAAAATGCCTGAGTTTTCTACTCACTTGGCGTGCTGTAAGGTCAGTTTGTATGCATTGATTTCAAAGACAATCCTCCTGTTTACACAGAGATTGATGAACAGGATGGGCTTACAGTCCTGTTGCTTCTTGTGATCAAAGTCCATGATTAATTGAAATATCTTGTTATCCATTTAAGTCTCAGTATGCATAGCTAATTCAGAGTAGCAAACAACCACGCTTAGTATGCCAATTCCCATGGATTTTGACTTGTATTTTCTTTCTTTTTCCTTCATGTTTTTGCTTTTCCTCTTCATTTTATAGCTGAGGTCTGCATTAGCAAGCAATCAAAACTCCTTCATTGGATGCAATGATATTCTTATAGCAAATCATTCTTGTTCTTAAGGCTTATTCAAGTTAGTCTAGTTATCTAATAGCTGATGCTTAAGAAAAGTAGAAAGCAGCTTAGGTGTTTGGGAATTAATCTGCACCTTCTTAAAAGGATAAATAATTTTTGTCTTTTTTTTTTTTTTTTTAAATATGTCCTAAAAAGCTGTTTAAAAAAAAAAGATAACTCTTATCTGTGTTGCAGTGGTTGCATTTGTCCAAGGAAAACTGGTAAATGAGCATGTAAGAGCTGCAAGAAACAATGTTTAGTAAATCCAAAGTGCTTGATAGCTATTGGCAATATCTGGACAGATATCAGTCGTCCAAGTACTGTTATTCCATATGAAAAAGTACTTATTCATCTTTAGGTCGGAAAGTGCTGTCTGCTCCTTTGATGATTTTCTCGGCTATTTTGCCCATGGTTTTTTTCACACCTTTGAGATCATTCTCATGTAATAGTTTCTGTGTGAGGTACTTCTCCCGTTTGACTTTGCTCTTGGTCTTCTCTGATACATCCGGAATTACATATGAAATAATAAACTTCACAAAGTATATGACATGCTGGGAAAGGTGAAAATGAAAAAATGTCAGTCAGGCTGAACAGGACATTATTTTCATTATGAATGAAATGTCACTTTTTGTCTTAAGACACTGAACTGATTCAGCGTCAGTATCTAACACTATAGAAAAAGATTTTAAAAAGACATGACTAATAAGATAGAATAATTATCTGACAAACAAGAATTTCTGGTTTTCCAATCCTGATTTGAGCAAGGACTTCTCAGCCTGCTTTGGGGAAACCCTGGTACACAGTGCTTCCCTCCTGCATGGAAACACTTGTTACAGTTTCCTATAAGATTTTTTATGTTTGTTCAAATGACTCTGGGGCAATTACTTTTCTCTGATACAGGAATTCTGCTCTAACCACTATCTGATGACTTCAGTAGTCCCTGGATCAGGACCTAAACACATTTTATAATTAAATAACACCCAATATTTCTCTCTCTTCATCTTGGACTAATTCCCATCTTTTGTAAGCTCAGGCTGTAGCTGCAGAGGAAGGAGCAATTGTTTTTTGATGATCATCTAGAGACTTACTTCTTACAGGGACTGTCTTTATAGACTCCACTCTGCCGTGTACTGTACCTGTATTACGTACATTATTACGAACGGGTATCATGCATGTGCATTCAGGACGCTGTGTGCAAACCTCCTCTAAGTACATGTATCCCATTTCTGCTACTAAAAATTATTCTATAGTTCTTGAGAAAAGAAGCTGCAGATATGTGGGGCAATCCTCAGCTGATGTCATGATTTCAGGGAATTATTTTTCCAATGTTGCTACTCTTGATTGACATCTCCCTAGCACAGACCACCAGCTCTGATAGCTGTGCCTGGACCGAATGCCTCTGAAGGATTTTCCTCAGGGAGGGAAGAGACTAAATAGGCAATGCTCAAACCCCCATACACCAACCTCCATGACAATGATGAAAGCCAGCTTGGCTGCAATGACATGCCAGTAGTATATGTTGTGCTCATACTGGTGCTGGTGACCGGGAGGGTAGCGGAGATCCCGGTATCTGAAAGCAAGGCAGGAAAGTCAGGAGCTGGTCTCTGGCACCTCTGCAGTACGGCACTGCGGCCAGAGGATGGAGCACGACATGGCCCTGCTTAATGTGTCCTGGAACAGTTAGCTCAGGCAACTACTCTGATGGGTAAAATCATATCTGCAAGATAAGCCATATTTGGCTGAAACGTTGTATTTTTGCCATTTTATTAAGAATTACTGATAAAAAATTTAAGGTGCTTTTTTTGGATAACTATCAGCTAGGAGAAAGCCAAATTAAAAAAAAGAATTTTCTGAATAGCACAAACTTATGGGTGAATACTTCCACTCCATCCTGCCATTCAAAATAAGCTGAGTTTTCCTGTGTTTCAATGTTTCCTAAGGGATATTGTTAAATGAATAAGACGGCTTAGATATAAACCCCATTATTTTTGTAATTGGAAAATGACAAATACATATTAGACACTTGCCTGCATGTTGTTTGGTTCCCAAACCAAGGGGAAGAAGGCTTGCTTGCATTCTTGAAGTCTGCTATATTGAAGACAGAAAGCGTGCTGTTTATATACCCCTCCATAGTGTGAGTGCTGTGACTCCCGTAAGGAGGGACCGAAAAGGACCAGTAATAAACCAGACGAGGAATCATGTCAGATGTAAAAGCAATGATCAAAGCCTGCATTTCAGACAGAGAAAACAAAAAAGCAGAGCAGCATTAAAGAAATAAGCCTCAATATACATTCCTTTGCTATATACTTAGCAACTCAAAAGTTAGCACATGAGCTAAAAATAGAAAATAGGTTCTTTTCCCACCAGTGGTTGTTCATTCTGTAAATGAGCATGTAGTCTCTCATGGGCACAAAACAATCCCTTTCTGGCATGTGCACTCTGTACAGTTTCTAAATTATGCTAGCTCTGCTGAATGCCTTAAAACAGTTAAACTATAAAACACTTTTTTCACGTGCATGCAGAGAAGATCAGCAAATGTGCTTCTTATGAGTACTAATGAGATGCTTGAAGAAATTCTGCCTGATGAAACTAATGGAAACAACAGAAGAGTTCTTCAGTAATAGAAAATTAAATGTCAGCAGGTTCTCCGATGTCTGAGTAAAGGAATTAAATAAATTAGATATATAACGGATCCATCTCTGATCCTAGAAACATCCCACCCTTTCTGAGGTGCTAGCCAGCCCAAATTCATCTTGGTACTTGTTGCCTCCTACTATAGCATGTGGAAACTGCTCTTGATGCCAAGATAATTTTTTTTAGTAGCAGCTGCATAGTGCTGTTTTATATGACGTGACCATTTGTTTTTATCTTGCTCCCAAGAGAGTCCCTGTCCTACTCAGTCTGCTAGTCACAAACTGGGTAGGAAATATGATCTGTGGGTTTGTTGTGGGAAGTCTTTTCTAAACTCATGAACTTCCCAAAACATCCTATTCTGGAGGACAGGTTAACTATCTTTAATCCAATTTCCTCCCCTGCTACTGCAAGTTCAAAAGGTTTCCCTGTGAGGAAGACTTTCCACTGGCAAGATCTGCAGCTGAGTATTTAGTGAGAGGCTGCCCAGCCAACTCATGACAACAGGTGCCTCTGGTGCCCAGCACCTGGGGAGGAGTGATCAGCTGCACTCCAGGACTCAGAGAGAAGTGTTTTGTCCCATCCCAGGATAAAAATACCCACTTGACAACATGGATGGAAAGAACCAGGGCAGAGACATGGAAGAGAAAGATGTGAAGTAGGGATCTGATGAGATCAGGTGAAAGGATGTTTAGGCACAGATAGACAAAAGAAGCAGAAAAAATGACAGGAAAATCATGGGACAGAGTCAGGGTCAAAGTCAAGCAATAATGGGTAATAGAGGAGCACAAAAACTGGTTAATATGTTTTTATTCCCCATCATGCCAGTCTGTAATTCATGAGATCTGTGTTTCCTTATTTTGATGACATGGGACAGAAAATTTCCATTTTTGTGCAGCGTTTCTGGCCAGACAGTCCCAGCCTGAGGAGGTATTTGTAACAGCGGCAGCAAAAGGAAAGGGGAGAGAGGATAAAGGGAAAAAAAAATGTGGATAACTCTTCCACAGTTTCTTGAACAATGCTTTGGTGGCAGTGCTAGCTAAAACAAACTCCTCCATCTGCCTCTAGCAGTTGACTTGGGCTCTGTGCTGGCTTGGGCAGTCCTGGCCCCATCCAGCAGATAGATGAAAATGCTGATCTGACTGGGAATCCTTTCCCTGGTCTGATTCATCATGTGAATCAGCACAGTGCAAGAGACAGGAGCAAGGGGGAAAGACAGCAAAGGGAAAGAGCAGGGAGTTGAAAAGGAGGCAAGACCCACCCTACCTCAAGTAGCACCACTGCCAAATGATGAATGATATCCTAGCGTCTTACCTTTTGAGTTGGCTTACTTTGAAGAACCTGAGAAGCTAAACTGTAGTTAAGATAAAAGCTGCAGAAACAATCCTTCTGAGACTGAGGTCCAAGACCTGTATTTAGTTCTCCAGAATATTGTTACGAGTTCAGCTGAGAGAAAGTTTGGCTGATGAGAAACAAAAGGAAGGCATCCTAGGTCTAAAACTCATTGAAAATTTTCAAGGATAAGGTGTTTTCCTTGTACTGCACTTTGGCTTAAATCAAATGTAGTTGGCATGCACTTTTAAAAACTGTTTTTAAGCATTACATGCCAGTGTGAAATGAAGTGAAAATTATGTGTTGTTTATATTTACATGCTGAGTAGGTGTTTTTGACTGACAAGAAGTATATATATTACTGTGTCTTGCAGCTGCAGGGAGACGACCTCACAGCTAAATTACTCTGTTTTTAACTGTGAAGCAGAATTAAAAGTAGAGTACAAGTAGAGTATTTGTAGTCTGAATTACAAGTATAGAAAATTTTTGTTAAATAAACTTTCTGTTCATTAGCTCACCTAGTCAGACCATAAATTAATTAATATCAACTTAACAGTAAAGCAAAAAAATTCCTTCTCCCTTTGGACCAAATGAGTTTGATGCTGCTTCTTTGTACCAGAAAGATGCTGGAATATGGTATTTACAGAGCTTAATATTTGATCTTACTGAATCTTTTTTGCAAGGCCCCAGGTCTCTCATCATCCTAAATCTGAGCCTTGTCTCACTCTCCTCCCTCTCTCAGAATGATCTCCAGATGTGCTCCAGAGAGCTTCAAGGACAGAAATACGAGAACTAATCCTACGGCATCCTCTCAAAGGAAAAACTTTTTTTCCTCTTGAATTATGGGCTGCATTTCAGAGTATTGCACTGGAGAACCACAAACAAACAGCACATTCTTTGCTTCCCAAGCCTTACTGCACACAGTTTTCCATTTATACCATAACTAATTAAAATCAGTCTTCAAATCAACAACAGATGCAATAGGAAGTCCAGCGCCTCACGGCAACTCTCAAAACTGGTAGCTTTGTGCAAAAGTTGATTGCAAGTACTAGCAGCTGCTACAAAGGTAACATGCATGAAGGAGAAGATGCACCAAGGGGAAGATGATACACTCCCCAAGTATAATCAGCTGTAACAAGCCGTGTAGAAGAGAAGAAACAATTTCTGTGTACTAAGATAAAATCAAGGCAGGGTTGTTAAACACTGATGGCTTGGATCGGTTCCTGGATGTCAAATAAGGAAAGAAACACACTTAAAGGAAGAAAACATCTTCTAGCATTTGCTCAAGCACATGGCTTTATGGCCCCCACTTCATTAGCAATAAATACCAGTCTCTGTGAGGTCCTCACAACACGTGCAGCGGGGCTGTCTGAATGTGACGGTCTCTGGGGCTGAGCCCCTCGCACGCGACAGCCCCACAGGGTGAGCGGCTGATGCCCTGCTTGCACGCTGACATCATCTGCAGAAAGCAGGGCACAAACAATGCCTGACAGAAGCCTACACATGGCTCAGTCACAGCCACTGCAACTCTGCCCTGAATACCATGAGAACTGTGATAAGGTACAATATTTTAAAGAAATCTTGAGATACACCTTCAACTTCTAGTTTCATATTGGATTACAAGATCCAGCTGGATTGATGAGGAAATACAGTTATCCAATAGCATAAGATATTTGGATTTCTCTGGAAACAGAACAGCCATCTTGTTGAGAAAGGCTATTCCCTATGGATAGTCTGAGGTGCTGTTGCGCCTCCAGAAGAAACCAGTGGTCATTATTCCTTTAAAAAAGGCCAGCAGCAAGAATTTTCTGTAAGTTAATACATACTAGTTCCTGTTTAAGAATAAGCAATCAAATAATCCACAGTGCTAAATCACAATGGCTTATTTTTCTTCCCACAATGCAGTCTACAAATAAAATATTGGTGAATTAATAAAAAAAAAAAAGAAAGGTCTGAATTTCATTGTTAGAAGTATATTAATCAGAGTTTTTTCTTAAATATTTTGAATAAACTCTCTTAAAATTCAGTTTATTGTGTACTTAAAACAATTAAGTACAACTGAAGAACAGATTAGAGTCTGAATTCTCAGAAAAATCATTCTGATACGCAATTTTGAACACACGTGGTATTTTTAAGCACACAAGAAAGAAGCTGACTTTCTGTTTTCAGAAGACGTGCCGTAAGGATCATTTCAGTTGCATTGCCACACACACAGCATTCCCACATTTGGATGTAGCACCTGCAGAGAAGGCATTTTCTCTTTTGCAGCTCTTGGCGCCGTACTTACATTGGTGACCACGGCCAGAATGGCTATGCCCTGCAGGATGGGCTGCCAGGCACCAATGTCCTGTGCCTTCTGTGGAACCATGCGCCTGAACTGCGTTGTCAGCTTCCACGCATCCAGCCGGATTTCCAGCATGTTGTTTATAAGGGCCAGAAGAGGAGCCAGGGGGAACGATGCCACAAACAGGGTCACAAAGCCAAACTGTATAACTGTGAAAGGGAGAGGTTACATGTTACATCTCCAGGAAATGAGGCTTTCATTTCCTGGAGACGAGCAAGTGTAGGCATGTATAGTTCATATACTCAGGTATTCAGGTGGGAGAAACAAGGAAGAGTAGCTGGGTTCCTAGTGAATCTTTTGGATGAGAAAATAGCACAACAGTACTGGAAAAACCTGCTAGGTGAAGGGGACAGGAAAATATTATAAATCACAACACAGCACAAGGAACTATTCTGGGTATTCAGATATCCATTTCTTTCTGACATCTTTATCATGAAGACCTGGAAATCTCATGACTATCTGTCTCCGTACTGAACTGGAAGGCCCAGCAATCATCTTGCTTTGTCTGGGTACTGCCTTAATCACACTGGCAATGTTGTCACAGAATGGATGGTGGCAACAAACCAGCCAAGGCCTGCCAGCTCCCAGGTTAGCAGCAACGAGTCCTGGTGACTGCAGACCTCCAGCAGAGCAGTCTGACACAGGGCTCTGCTGTGCAGCACCAGAACACGACAGGGGTCTGCCTTCTGAATGCATTTCTCACAGGATTAGGCAAGGAAGCAGCAGTACTCCTCCTTGTACAATCACATGCTGCTTCCTAGTTATAAAATGGATTAAGGCTTAGCTGCTTAATAAAAACTTGTAAAACCATCTGTAACGGCTCAATCAAAACTTGTCTCAGAAAACATTAATGTCCACAATATTAAGCATTGCTTGTGTGAAGATTTTCTTTAGAACATGTTTGTATCCAGCAGCAGTGGTGAATCCAGACTAAACTGTTCCTTACCCATTTCAAGATACTCATAAAATAGTCCAAGTTTTCCAATGGGTTGGAGGTGGTAGTCGTGTTCCCAACGTGGAACAACTTTTTCTGATCTAGCAGCTGCAGAATATCTTCCAATTAGATTCTTGATCAAACTATCATATGGGGAGAAAAAGAACATTAACATTGGTAAAAGAACCTAAAAAGTTGAGTAAATGCAAAGAAAAGTTGGCATTTCTGCTTTTACATTTCTACTGTAGGTTTAAACAATGGATTTATTTCTGAATTATTCAAAAATTTCTTCCTAAGAAAAGCAACTTTTGTTGCCTTATCCTTAAAGTGGGTTTTTACAAGCCATAAATAAGAGTGTAAATATATCAGAACCACAGTGATTTGTGTCTCGTAAAAGAGTTAAAATAGTAACTTATATATATGCCTTTTAAAATCCCAATGTATAACAACAAATCATTCCAATTAATACTAAGCAAGTCTTCAGGTTAATATTGTCATAGCTTCTACTACCTCAGTTTTGAATATTCAACCTGAAACACATCGAGTTTGACTTGCAGAGGAAGGAAGAATTTCTGATTAGAATTAAAATCAGTTAAAACAACAGAGGCAGGAGCCCAGACCAAAAAAGACTCCGAGGACAAGTCTTATTCTTTCAGAATACAATATGCACTTACCAAACTCAGTGATCAAATGCCTGAAGGCATCAAGCAAAACAGTATTTTTCAACCATGAAAGAGCAGATTACTTAATAGTTTGAACTTACGGAACAAGCACTTCTTGGATGTTGTTCCAGATAGCTTTCCCTCCCACTATGATGGCAAGCTGGGTTGTGAGCTCGAGGAGACATCCACCTGGATCACACTGAAATTTGGGTGAGAGAGGAAAATGTTTTTGTGGTTGGGTAACTTTTCAGGCATGAATGAAGCATTTAAAATTAATTTAAAATAATTAAAATAACTAATATTATTAATATTCCTGATTTATGATAACAACATTACTGAAAGCATTCAAAGAAGACTTCCTAGGCACACCTTTCCAGTAAGGTATACAAAAGCCAAATCCAGGCCACATATGGTAGGTTGCCAGAATACAGTGAAAGTGAAATACCAGGTGAAGTCATGCAGCTCTGTGCTATCACCAGGTCAGGGTCACCCAGCAAAATATAAATGCTTGTACTGATATTCTCTCTTTTCTGTGTGCCCAGTCACAGATTGCAAGACCACGGTAAAATACACTTTTCTGGGTACACGTAATACATTTCTAAGCTCAACTGGTCTTGTGCCATATTCTTTTATGCTAGGGGTTAGTAAGGAGGTAATTACCTTGGGAGGCAGTCACTTTTAAACCCTAGGGTTAAATATGTACAACTATGTTTTACTTTATACACTCCAAACTGCAGCACAATACCCGGACTAATCATACATTCTACATTCTTACCTCTTCATTGCGATACCTTCCTAGCCAATAAACTGGACTTCCAGGGTGACCTACGAATTTACCCTTAAAGAAAGCTATGTAGAAGCATGAAGAATAGTAGTTGACAAACTGAAACAAGAACATCTTTGTGGTCAGACTGTTTTCATAATCAGTCTGTGTCCTTGGAAGTTCTGCAACGAAAGAAAAGTAAATAAATTAAAAAAAACCCAACCCAACCTACAAGTAACCTACAAGCTGTTCTAGAGCCTCAGCTGCAAAATATCTGTATGTCTCATATTCCTTTATATGACTGAGAGCATTATCATTTAGATTGTACCTAATCCCCGTGTATACTGTAATCATTATGTAATTCTAAAACTGTATGGGTTGTAAAAAGAAAAGAACTTGTTCCCTGACAATAAAGAAAGAGAAGACACAAGAATTCTAATAACTCAGGGGAAGAAAAAGCACCCAAATCCAGAAGACTCGACAAAGATGCAAATGTAGCACTTTGAACTGATGAAACAGTATTAAGTGAAAACACCACATTACTTCATGCATCTAAAGTAAAACAGCTACTTTAATGTTGATGGTCTGGATATAGAGAATAATATTATTTGGATATAGAGAATAATATTATTTGTGACTGTTTATCTGTTTAAACATCAGAGGGGTAAGTAGCTTTGGAATGGTGATCTTAGTTCACTTATTTACAAGAAAATAGCTATTTTCCCCATAAACAAAAGCTAATATAATTGAATGTGTTATGCCTTACTGATCTGTTTTCATAAAGCTTGGTTGTTGTAGTAATTTTCTTTGCTTTGTATGTTTCACAAACACAAAACTGTAAACAATCGATATTTCATGCTGCCTATATAAGGCCTTTTCAGGCAAAGAGCTGAATATCATATTTCTCTGATATTGAGCAAATCTATATTGGAAAATTTCTAGGTGGTATTGTGTGATTTTGTGGGAAAGTTCTGAAAGATGTGGTACAGGTGTTACACCTACTATACATATAAATGCTAATTTTTCTAGCTATTTTACCCCACGTTTCCATCTGAGGCAGAGCAGCAGCATACCAAAGTCAGTGATCAGGATTGCCACTTTTTCATAGATGATGTTGAGAATCATAATGACAACAAAGCTGATGAGGGAAGCGGTTATTGACGTGGCTGTCTGTGGAGTCAGGTACTTGCGGATCGCCTCCGTTCCACTGATGTGCTGTGACAGCTTCGCAGAGAACACCAGGAAAACAGAGAGCCTGTAGACAATGATTCCAACAACTGAAGCAATAATCAAAAGGATCTGCCAAGGGAATGCAGGAAAGATGTTCATGTTCAACCACTGGCATTAGGAAAAAGTGAGTTCAAAACACTTTTTATGATAGACAAAAGGAAAGCAATTTTGTGCCTGTCATTCCATTGCAAGAGGATGATCAAATAAGATACAAAGCAATAAACAGAGAATCCATAAAAGAAGCATTTTTTTCATGTAGCATAGTAAATCTGCAGGAAAGAAAAGAGATGGCCTGTTTTATGACTAATAACAAGGGTTTTTACTGATGTAAGCCAATGTAACAAGAAGTGTAATCAAATCTTGCACCTCGAGGCATGTGATGGGAGAAAACTCTTCATATTGGACAATTGGCAGGATGGCATATGTACAATGCGAGTCTGCATTGATTATGGAGGGGGCTGCACCTTCTCTTCCACATGATACTATTACAGACTACAGATCCCTCCAAGGAATAGAAAAAATTTAAGCCAAGTCACGTAGTCTGTAGGAGTTGCAATAATGATCCAGGCACCCCATCTTGCTTGCCATCTCTTTCTGTGTCTCTTCCTGCTTCTATTTTTCGCTAGTTCTCTAGCTATTGTTCAGTTTAAGGTTCACAGACTGACTATATTTTTTCACTATCTCAGCAAACTGCCATGAACTACCTTCCCTGACCCTGCACACAGTAACTGTGCAGTAACACAAGTGACAAACCCAGAACACATCTCTTCCCTCCAACATGAAGTCTGACATATTTAAATCCAACTGCAAATCAGTATTCTTTCCTTTGTGTTTCAAATGTGTTAATGCTGAGGCTCTCCTGGGCTGCCAGACACCACTCTATCTCCTATCTGCATCCTATCACTGAGAATGAGGTCTTTTCCAGCTGCTATTTTGCTAAAGATGAGGAGCATGCTAAAACACAGAACTTTTCAAGGCAATCTCTCTGGGCCTGCTCATTGTGTTATATATTGTGTCATGGTTGACTGGACTGCTTTCAAGGTTTAGTTTTAATTAAAGTAGCAGCTCTGGAAGATTAAAGAGCGCCCAGCTCTGCTCTGTTAAGTGAAACACAAAACCTGAAAGAGGTCATGGACTGTGAGACACAATGTGGAAGAACACAGCTGGAACAAATCAGACAGAAACTAGCAAGGAGGAGAGCATATAAACCAAAGTCTTCCCCTTACTGCCCCCCTAAAAGAAAAGGCACTTTTCTTAAAATAATGAGGGAAAAATCAATGGACCACCTTCACAAGCATAATTCACAAGCTACAGCTGCAGGATATTTTGATACTGTATGCTAATGATTATTGGGTGACTACAGCTACCTTCTCCATACATTGGGCCCATACCTTATGGGCTTGATTTATGCATGAGATGGAAATCCAGCATAAACTGGTTCCATTCTCACTTTTTGTTCAGTTCAGGAGGATCATTTTTTTAGACAGTTACTAGAAAAGTGAATTTATGAGGGGAAAGGATAGGAGAAGAACTTTACCCAGAAGAAGATGGCACTTGTACAGAAAGTCATCCGCACGCACTTCCCACATGCAGTGTATGGCACATGTTCTTCTTGCTGTAAAAGATTAGGAAACAGATCAAGGAAGCACACAATGTTTTTGGTTTTTTTGGGGTTTTTTTTTTTTTTTTTTTTTTTTTTTTTTTTTTTTTGTGTGTGTGCATGTGTGTGTGTGTGTGGTCTAATTGGAATCTTTATTATACTGAGGGCAGAGAAAAAGGAAAAAAGTACCTTGTTTTGTTTCCTGGAAACTTAACATTTATTCATGATTTCAGAAGCCTTGCCTCATTACAGCTGTCTTTTTTTCTGCCCCTTCTATGACAAAAATGACTTCCATAGAAGTAGAGGGTCTCAGCTCTTATTGACTTCAGCCATTACAAGGTGCATGTTCCTTTTGAATGGACCCATCCTTCTTGGCTGATCATGGTATCCAAGGTCATTATCTCTCAAACTTCAATGGCTAAACTTAGCAGGCACTAAAATTTTGGTCCTTGATCTCTGTGTTTCTCAATGTATTCCATACAAACAATGGGATGGGTTCCCCAAGGAAAATGACTACCTCAGTGTGGTACTGTGAAAATTCACTGAGTCTTTAAAGAATCACTGAGGATCAAAATAAAATATTTTAGCATATTCTTAACTCTTTGAACTGTCTGAAAGGAACTTTCTAGCTATGACTTTATATATTCAAGGTGGCATAGGTTTATAAGCTTTTAAACTGGATGAGTTTTTTGATTGCACGAGATAGAAAAAAGATATATAGGATAATTTCAACTATGGCAGTTAATTTTGAACCTTTTCAAGTGCCCTCTAATAAACATTACTATAACTTGGATAGAATGTGAAAGCAGTGCAAACGATTAGAAAAAAGACAGAGAATAATAATATTGACAGAAAATAATAAAAAGTGAAACTGAACTTGAGTAAGCTGCCAAAGCTAAAGCTACTGAAATGTATAATAAATAGAAATCTAAACTAAGATCCTCATAAATATGAATCCTCTGTCATTGAAATGTGGTTTATCCTTGTCTCTGCAAGTTTGTTGTTATTAATCATAATTTTATCCATATGCACTTAGCAACAATAGCTATTTATACGTGTTTCAAACGGAAACACCTTTGATTAAAAAACATTCCTGGCATAATATATAATAATGCAACATTTCCCTCTATTCACCTGCATATCCTTATGCATTCCTACGTAAAGATAGCAAATGCTCTGTGATCTTGGCCTCTGGCAGTAACAATTAATAATTTCTTGGGGATTTAATAAAGTATACTTAGTCTTCTAAGCTGGGGATGATGCCTACTTCTATTTATTTAAGACAGAGGAACCTCAGCAGCACAATGTCCTCAAACAGGCAACTACTTTAAAGTGCTTTCAGTTAGATTTCAATTCCCTCTCCCTGCATCTGTACTTCATCAAGTCACTGTTTTCAGGCCAGCTTATCAATTTGAGGCACTGCTGATTTATACAGCTCCAGTCCTGATTCACCATTTTCATAGTGTCTGCTCACAGCTTGCCTACAGCAGTAACCATCACCAGCTGTCAAAATATTCCTTACCTGTGTGATTTCATTCATCACTACGTGAGTGCAGCGAGCTTCGTATTCGGGGCGAACTTGCTCTTCTTGCTCCAAGTACTCAACTGTGTCCCATTCGTACTCCAGTTCAGCCTGCCGTCGCTTCCAAAACTCCAAAAAAAAGGTAACTATCCAAATGATAGACAAAATCAGCAATACCACGTGAGTACTGGATACTGTTTGCCCCCTCTGGGCTATGACTCATGGCTCAGTATTCCATGCAGCTTTTCACAGACATGGAATAAAACCTTTACTGGCTAATGCAATGGTGAAAACTGGATCTACTCCTATATGCAATTACGATTTTGCATGTATATGTACTTTAATATGAGAAACCTGAGGTAAGTGGTGGTGTAACTACATGCTAAAGAATGTATTTACTTTATCTATGTATTTTCCTTCTGACTAAGGCCAAACTATGAACGCTTTGGATTTTATATTACAGGCTGCTTTAAAAAGTTTAACATGGGATACTTAAGAAACTAAATTGTTTTGTTACGTGAAGACAAAATTCTGGAAAGTGCAGACTTCTAGAAAAATTAAACTCAGTATGCAAAAAATTGTCACAGGGAAGAGCTCATGCTCATTCACGCTGCAATTTTTGTGTAGACAAGTTATCAGTTTGCAGACTACAAAACCAATGTTTGTTCAGGTAAATCTGCTTAAATACAGCTGTCTTTCCTCCTCTGCCAGCATAGACCTAAAGAGACTGCAGCTCTTTCATATGGCATGGAGCTTAGAAACTCCCTGGGCTGGGCCAGCTGTTTCCCTGGACTGTGCTCCTGCAGCTGGAAGTGCTGAGGGATCAGGTACACAGATGCCTAGGCAGTAATGGTTAGACATGATTCCAGCCCAGCTCATTACCTTGTCAAGACATTACACAGGCAGATCTGGCAGCAGGGGCAATGACAAACCCAGATGGGAAGGCTGGGAGGAGCTCAGGATGCTGGGTGTCAGTACCATGCTCCCTGGCACACACCTGGGTGCTTCATTCTTGAAGAAGGTGCAGTCTTAGATTAAAATAGTGGTGTGGCTCTGCAGCACTGTTTCCAGGAGGAGTATCCAATCACTGCACTTTCATTGCTCTCATTGTCTGGGAGTAATTAACCTTACAATTGGTTTTTTTTTTTTTACTAGTTTGGCCCCTCATTCTGAATGATGAAACCTCAGAGGCATGCAGTTACATGTACAAACATTAAAGGTTACATCTAAAATCAGGTGCGGCTGAAAAATCCCAAACTGAAACATTTAAAAGCCAGGAAACTCCATGGGCTGGCCTATGAGATGACCTTGGCATCTGCAAATGCAAAACTCCAGAAAACCCTGCTCCCCTGATTACCCAGGGCCCGCTTTCACAAGGACTTCTCCACTCCTTCATGCTTAGAAGCAGCAAGGACACTGCAAGCAGCAGACCAGAGGGTCTCATCTGTTTTCTCCTGCTGAACAAGGACATTAGTCTTCCATAAACCTTTAATTGCTGCCCAGCCCAAATCACAGGAATCTACAGGCTATACTGATTTGTTCCAGCTGCAAATTCAGCTGCTGCTGAAGAGCCCAGAAGTGCAGAGACTCCTTCTGTGATGACAGCCTCACGTGCTAAGTGTGACAGAAGGGCACATTACAGAGGGACAACTCTCCCAGCCCCCTATCAGCCGTGTTGTGTCCTTTAGAGCAGGAAAGGAGCTGCTGCTGGATTTGCCATTTTCCTTTTATTTTGAAGCAAGATTTCAACATGTTTCAACATGTTGTTTCAACAGTGGAAACGCATGACATTTCAGAATCAGGAGACCAAAGCAGTCATTTCATGTCATATTGAACAGTGTCCCCTTTTGTGTGTCCCCCAACACTGCCCTTCAGGCTGGCCCAGGTATTCTGCCTCTGAAGCTGTGTCACAAGGTCTGAGAAGAAGTGCCTCCATCAGAGAACATTTCTTGGCTTAACTGACCTTGCTCAGGGAGGGGATCCAGGGATGGCAGCAAGTGAAGTGGAAGCTGCCTCTTGTTCACAACCTTTGCCAATCTAGTCTTACCAGCAAAGGGAGAATTGGCAGAGCATTAATGTATAAAAGGGCTAACTCCTGCGGCCAAAGTCCCTGGTGCTTTATAGTGCCTTAAGATTTTTGAGGGAATACACACAAGAAAATATGCTCTTATTTGAAGTGTATTGATGATAATGATGCAATAATATATCTAAGAGTCTAGTATTAATTTTAATTGTTTTGGACAAGGAGGTCTAAAAAAGTAATAGAGCAACATGAAAATTACAGCTGGAATTACACCAGGACCATGGGTCATTTGGATTCCGTACAATTTTGGTTGAATTTCTGTAATATAATTCACCTCTTTATATAGTGGACTTACAACAAGAATACTAATAGACCTTGCAGCCATCTCTATAACCATGAAGCTTAACTTTGTAATTATTGCTCCCAGAACCATTCTTCAAAACAGGAAGCACAATTTTAATTAAAAAACCAAATTGCCAATAAATTAACACTTGACGTGATGGGAGAAGATTACATTAGTATGTTTTACAAAGAAAGCAAATTTTCCATTCTTCTCAGCCTATATATGAATTCAAAATATTACATGAGATACATTCTCTATAGCAGCTGGTATGCAGACCTAACATGGAACTTACTTCCATAATTACTGGATAAAACACTACAATAAAAGCCAACTAACAAACCTGCTAATATGAATAAAATAAATTGTTTTAGGAAAATAAACCTTGCCTAATCCCTTGAATATAGCACCAAGTGTTTTCACCTGTGGGAAACATCCTGATTTCATATACATTTTCTCTGCTAAAAGATAAACCTAGTGCTTGTAACCTACTACACTTTCTAAAATCAGCTTCTTAAATAAAGACAGAGGGGAAAAGTTCCTGGGAAATATAACAAATTACTATTTTTCAATTGCATTGTGCAGTTACACAGCTGTTAATAGCACAAGCATCTCTATAAGCCTTTGGGGAAAAACCCCAGCTCCTCTGACAGACATACTTAAGCATGTGGCTGGCTCCTGCTGGATGAACATGTAGCAGTCTTAACCACCTCCCTCAGAATTTTCTTCAAGTCATCAAAACAGAACAGATACTGAAGACTAATTTTTAAGACTACAATTTTTTGTTTGCTTATGATGAGTCCCTGTGAATGTGCTTGTTTCCAGTTAATTCCTAAGTGCTAACAAATGAAGTCTGCAAATTTATCCTTGGCTGATGCTGGACGCTTGGCCAAAATTAGATAACAAACCACAGTTGTTGAAACTGACTTACCCCATATTCCCATGAATACTGCAAACACCAGTGTTCCATAGCTATCAAATATACAGAGTTTCTGGAAAAGTGGAAAAGAAAAAAAAGTCTTAAAATATAACCAACCATTTTTATTCTTCTACACCAACCCAGAACAGAACCTAGAAGCTACTTACTGAAAATGTTGATTTTCAGTTTTTATGTAGTTTCATAAACAACCCTTGTGGATAGTGTTCCCTCAGTTTCTGTCCATGCACACCACTCTCCAGTAAATCAAGGAAATTAAATCCAAATTTCATAATTAAAAATAAAAGGCATATATGCATTATGAGGGATAGTAAAATGGTGTCCTATCAAACTTCCCTCCATCTGTTGCTTACTAAGAGGAAAAACAGTGCTTCTGGTCTGGGAACTCAGGAGAGAATTACGGATTTTTAATACAGCCACTAAGACCATGGGCACATCTGGTTCTCATAAGCAGGATAACAAATAAGTTAGTTAGTAAAACCACACTCTGATGAAATACCTCTGTGGTCACTATCTCCCTTTTTTTTATTTTTCATTTGTTTGTTTGTTTGTTTGTTTTCCATTATAGCCTTTTCCCTGCAATCTTATTTCTTTTACCATGTAAGTGTATTGATGCAACACATTAAAGTCGGGCAAAATATTTTTGATGAATAGCTGAAAAATTGCAGTTTTGGGACTGAATCTACAGAGAGGAATGATGAAAGGCTAACATTAGCTTACTGAGACAAGGTAATGGGGAAAGAAACTGAGGTTCCTTTTGACAGGAGTAAAGAGCAGACAACAGGACATGGCTGTGTGACAGCTTCTGTCATAGCCAACACCAGCCTCTCCTTGTACCCATCTTCTCCTTGGCAACATGGATCAAATTCAAGGCATAAATCCAGATAACTTTTTTATGCAGGCAGGAGGTAAAAATTAGAAATGTCAAAACAAGATTTAAATGTTTCCTTAGAAAAATTGATTCAGAGTTACTGAATCAAGTTTTTAACTGAATCTTTCCTTCCCTCAAAAATAACAAATATTGCCAAATGAAACCAATTTTCAATTGAAAGAACATTTTATTCTCCTATCAAATATTGGCAGTAAAAGACTAAATTTTTCATCTTAGATCAAGTGGGAACAATTAATGTTGTTGTTTTCACTTTTTGAAGTTGAGTCACTGTATCAAAAGGAACAACAATTTGCACATCTTTAGCAGTTCTGCAGGACATTAACGGAGGATGAACATTGTTTTATATGTAGTACTGGAGAAAGTGCAACTAAAGTCAAAAGTGTGTCTACAAGCTGTAAATGTAGTTACCTTGGATGATTCACAAGTGATGGTGAGGTTCCAGTAGGTACATGCCTGATCACACTGAGGGCACATTATGATATTACCTCCTATGTTGGGGTCACATACTTCTTGGCTAAAAACAAAACTAGTCAGTCACTCACCAACACTAAATTCTTTAGTCCTTTTTCACCCATGAAGACAGTGCAATAATCTCAGGGAATTAAGGAATAATTTAACAGTGATCTGCACTCAAGAATTGCACCCCCATCCCTTCCCCTGGCAACATATCCCCATTTCCATTCATAGACCTCGTCTCAAAAAATGGATGACACATGAGGAAAATAATTTCCATCCCTTTTACGTGGTAGTAATTCTCAAAACTGCCCAGACTAAAAATAAAACAGCTCTTAAAAGATCTCACTGTCTTCAGTAGGAAACTCACAGTTGCATGCTCACACATGGTTTGTAGCAAGTCTGAATGGAGAAGGAAGAGCAGCACTGCCTAGCAGAACAAGGAATAGCTGCAGATCCCAAAGGACTTCCCAGTTCCTGTAGACTCCTAAACAGGATCAGACTGGAAATGGTGCAGAGGGGAGCTACCACAAGGATTCACGGGTTTGCAGATCTGTCTCCTGAGAGATGGCAAAGGAGCTGCCATCCCACACTCTCTAACCCAGCATGGTGGAGGATGGAAGGTAGCATAATTACTTCCTACCTGTACATCAGGGGGGTAAACACCAGGGAGGCAGCTGAGCTGTGAGCATTCAAGGGCTGTGGAATAGCCCTTCAGCAAGGAATGTGATGGACACCCTTCCAGGAAGGGGTATGCAACTGGATGGCCTGTAGGTCCTTTGACACAATGCCATAATGTTTTTTCCCCTGGGTCATTTGTCCATGATTGAATTTTGTTGTGTTTTGATGAGAGAATCTGTGTCATGGCTATGCCTTGCCTTCCAAGGTATCCTAAGCAGCTGAAGGCCCCTCTGCTGTTGCTCTTCCTATATTTTCCCAAATTAGAAGAAAGAAATGTTTAATGTCTTTGGGTATCTAGTTTAAGGATTGCCACAGTGAAAATAATTTTTTATGGCAACTTGTATTGACTTCTGATTGTCACTCCTTTCTTTGTGTTCCTACACTACGTATGGTGAACCTCATGCAAAACATAAATAAAATGATGAAATAAGAAATTCCTGGATGTCTATCACTGTAATGGTCCATGGATATCCATTATTTATCTAATATTTTTATGCCTTTGCCTTCAAATCCACCATGGCGGTTGTTCTCGGGCCCTTTAATTTTGCTGTCCTCATTAAGCAGTGTCTTGCAAACCCTGTACTGTCCCCCCGTGATTAAAATTGTACATGATATTAAACCAGGCCTGATCAGGTACCTCCATGTGCAGTTGTCCTTTGTCAGGCATCCATACAGAAAACAGCCAACTCCTACAACTGCAGCCACAGTCAGCATATTTGTGTAAAAGCCCAGCCAAGCAAAGTAGATGCCAATTTTCTCTCCATAGTATTTCCTGTGGAGGAGAAAGGTGTGGGTTTTTTTTTTCTGAAACGCAAGTAAATTTGCATTCCTGTTTCAAATGGCTCTTCATTTCACACATTTTATGCCAACCCATATTGTCATAGTCTTCTGGTTTCAAGTTTGGGATTGCAGTAGTATTGCCTGTTTTTGTGAAAGGATGGAAATGGAGGGGGGGGGGGGAATGAAAAACAGAAAAGATCATGGCTGCAAAGAAAAATTTTAAGTGGCTGCATTTTCATCATCATGAAACCAATTTCAAATTATGCTTCTGTGAACGAGCTGATCTGGATGTATGTATCTTTCCTCAGAACTAACCTGTGTCTCTTTGACTTCCCCAAACCAGACCTATTGTGTAGATTTCTCTTTCTCCTTGCATTAGTCCAGTTCCAGTTACACCAACCTGATGAAATCCAGGGGTTGCAGTTTGAAAATGTTTTTAGGATGAGCCCATTCTCTGTAGAGGAGATATCGTTCACTTGGGCAGCTGGGATCAGTCGACAGGTGCCTAAAACTCGACTGCAAAACAGAATGAGTACGAGAGGACAGCACTAAAATCTAACCAGAGCAGCTCATCTCTCATCTCTACAGACCTTCTCTATGCCACAAAGCTAGAGTCTGGAGTAGCATTTAGACAGTCTTACTGCAAGCTAGGAAAAGGAGCAGCAGCTCTGAGAGCACACAAGGATTCAGGATAGAAGATTGTCAGAAAGGCACTGAATGCTAAAGTAAATGCTGTACATATGTGAGCTGAAAATAACAGGGACTCATCATGAACTCAATCTAAGCACATGTCAGCATCTTGGCACTTAGGAATAGAAAATAAAAAAGGATCCATTCTAATTAGAGAACAGGACTGAACTAAAATGGATTTTAAGTAGCTTTAACATGCTACACATGCTTTGCTTCAAAATAGTACTGTACTAGAATACAGGCTGGAAAGACTGAGGGAAAAATCCAGGGCCTCTAATCTCTGCTTTAAATTTAAAAGAGAGTTCACATGGAGATAATCTTTGCATTTCTTAGTAGGTTATAAAAAAAGCTATTTCAATAAAACCTGTTTTGTTTGAGACATTTTCCATTCTATACCTGAGATGCAAAAACATGAGTAATGTTTGTAGAAATCTATCTGCTACTTTTCATTTTCAGCATAGCTGTTATGTATAATTTAAACTGTATAAAAAGACAGTCATTAATTACTAGTCATAAATACTGAGTCCAAGTTCCCCATGCCACGATAGAAATATCCTGCAAGGCAGGTTTCAAATCTTTAAAAGGAAACTTTAAAAATGGCTAGTCACAAATTATACGAATTCTATTCTGTAAATCTTTGATTACTTACAAGAAACATGGTTTGTCTTGATTCTGCCTTAAAAATTTCTTTGAAAACCTTGGAGGCCTCCTAAATATTTTAAGCCAAGTCCATGCAGCTGAAGCAGTTATCATTCCTGACCTCCCATGTTCTCAATGTCTCCTTGACAGAACACACCTTGGACACAGAATGGTGGCTCTGAGGGGGACAAGTTGGGATGTTGCAGTTATGCAATAGACAGAATACAGAAAATCAGCCCTCAGTCTTTGCTTACGTTGCATTCACAGCCTCACATGGAGCTTTTTCTTTGCCAAATATTCTGAAATCTGATTTTTTTCTCCACAATTTCTTTTGGTGCTATTGTTAGCCCTGGTATACAAAATAATTTTCAGTATAACTTTCTTATTCAAATGATATAATTTAAAAAGCTTCAGAAGTGTAGCTGCAAAAGCTGGATTTGTTATTATTGCAAGGTGAACTTGAAACCAATGAAGGTTTTTTCTGCAAGATTCTGACACCTGTGAGGCATTGGACTGGCTGGGCAGAGTCTTCCTATAGAAACCTGAGTCTCATGCAATGTTTGGGAACTAAGGGACTGTTTCTCAATGTGCAAGACTTTCACACATCCTAAAATGAGATTTGTAGTCTACATCTTTATTAACAATGTTGATAGGAATTTTAATATTGGAAAATTGCATACTAAGGAAACATTGATTTAGGACTGATAATGCAGTGTGTCATGGGAACTATCTATCAGTCCAGGTGCTTTACAGAAATACATCTCCCAGGAAATACAAATCTAAGAACTCTCAAGTGATATATATTGTTTTTCCTTTATAGAAATACGCTTTTAACCAACAGTGCTTTGGAAGAAAATCTCTTTAGCAAAACCACATCCTATTCTTCTATGTAGATATAATACCAGTCCAGGAATAAGGCAATGAATAGTGCTTCTATCCTTTGATATACCTAGAGGATATATATATCTAGATATAGTTCAGACCTCTATTTCAAAGTGTATTTTAGTTACAAGCACCAGACTTACATCATGAAGGGGAAATGCTGCTTTGTAGATTCCAGTGTCCAGTAACTTGTTAATGCCAAATTTTTTCACATTATTTTTTGTTGCATATTCCACACGGGACAGGATAAAATGAACCTGAAATTTAAAAAAAATAGTTTTGTGTCCTTGCAACCTGAAAGAAATCATATACAGCTATACCTGTCTCAGCATATAATCAAGTTAAGAAAGGGTAATCAGTGTAGACAAAATTAATTGTACAGGGTGCACAAACCTTCAAATCCCTCCTTTAAATTCAGGTGGAAAAGAAATAGGATAAATGTAAGTAAAGTTTTCCTTCTGGATTGCCCCGGCTATTTCATAAATCACACAGGACTGTTGCATCCCAAATATTTTTAATTTTTTTAGGATGTTCTACTGAAGGTAATTACATTGATTTGATAAAAGGAATAGTTTCTTTTTATGCTAGAAATAATGCTAGAAATACTTCATGGACTTACAATTCGGCTTCTAGTTGCAGGATTGAAAAATGTGTCTTTGTCTTGGATGTAGAAGTTGGACAAATGTTCCTTTTGAAAAGGGGCAGTGAAAAACTCTTGCTCAGGTTTGATGATATTTTCGTCCACCCTGAAGAGTCTACTGAACCAGTTGAAGGCTGACTTTCGGGTTTTCAGGTCATTCTGTTGCAGGGGCAATTTGATGTGCATTACCTCGGCGTACGTGCACAGCACTTCCCAAGGTGCATGCACTTTCACAAAAATAAGTTTCTCATCCAAAACCTGAGATGAAAGAATATTGAAAATAACTATGTAAGCATTTTCATTTTAACAATTCTTGAATTATCTAGAATTTTCTTTCTCTTTACAGCTCATAGATGACCTACTCGAAGTTGCATTCATTGTCCATCCCAGCAAATATATCATTGGCTTCTGTAAAAGCGCTGACATGAGGAAACCTTCAGGCAGATGAAGGCATATAAAGATATATAAAAAAAGACAGTTAAATCTTCCCTTAATGCTTAATGTTTACATCTCTGCAAAGTATTTTACAAAGCAATTTAAGTGTAACACTTTGCCCATACAGGGTCATTAGGACTCTGCTTGTAGTTTGACAGGGCAGGCATGGCTCTGGAGCAGCCAGCAACTCCCCAGCAGCTCAGTTACAACCCAGTGTGATGGGACCAGGCTAGGCACTCATGGGTGCTCCTGGGCAACAAGAATTCCAAGCTTCCTAGAGAGAATGGGGAAAGGGAAATTAGATGAAACTGCTGAAATAGACAGCACGGGGCATATTTGCTCCCAGTGGAAATCCCAAACCCACAGCAGCAGTGGGAACCCTGACAGCCACTCCTGCCTCCTGTCTACACATGGCCTGTAGACCTACTGCTGCTCTGCATTAGTGAGTGTCAGCCACATGACATTTCCTTATGTAGCTCATTGGCTCAGGAGCACTGGTCTGATATCTGATCCAGCCTGGGGAAATGTCCAGTTTCAAATGTTTTTCAGTCATAATCACAGCAGAACTATTGAAGACTGCAATTTGTAAGTATAGCACCAGGTCTGCCGCAGCCTTCCAGACACCAAGCATTTACTTTCTTATGAATGTGAAGAACCAGACTGCATTCTTGGACATGCAGCTGGAGTCCTCACTGCAGACAAATAAATTCTGTGATGCCATAGATTCTAATTTGGGAGGAAGGGGCAAAGTGACTATTTCTGAAGCTCACTATAGACTGCCAGACAACAACAAAGTTAGACTGGAAGTGATTGTCCTGGAGAGGGAGACACAGATGGAGCACTGCAGCCCTGCAGGGCAGGAAGAAAGAGAAGGCATTTGGAGGGGCTCTAACCTTCCCTGCCAGAGCCAGCAGCTCTGCAGCTGGTGTGCATTTCCACAGTGCTCTTGAACAGCCTGCAGGTGACATCGCAGCCTTTTGAGAAGCAGGGTCACACGCAGGAGCCCTGCACTGCTCTCCTGGCAGGGCCATTCTGCCCCAGACACACACCAGCCTCCCACCTGTACTGCACAGCCAGAGTATAGCAAGTACCCTTCTGCAGGGTACAGACAGTCGTTTTTATCTTCCAAGCTCTGAGCAAACATGACCTATGTAATCTCCCAGCTTCCCTTCTGTTATTTTGCAGAGGCAGGAGCAGACATAAGTTTAAAAAGATTTTGCATCAGATCTCAAAGACACTGCTAATGGAAGAAAGGTGGGCCTTTTTTTCTTGAGAGGAGAGAAATCTTACAGTGAATTAATATATCCAGTTTCCTTAATCCCACAGGGGCAGCTCTGCTCTCAGAACAGCCATTCACACAGAGAATAGCACTCACCGACCTCGTCGCTTCTAGTTTCAAGCCATTGTTTATCAGGTTTGATTCATATACTTGTCTCTTCCTCTGTTAAAAGATATTGAACACTGTAAAACATCTGTTCCAAGTTTCACAAAAATGTATGCATAGAAAAATGGAATTGCTTCCAAAACCATCACTATGTTATCTCTATAACACTTGATAGCTACTGTGGTGATATGTACAGTCCTACCTACTAATTAATCTGGATCAGTTTTTTTGTCTGATATGGAATATTGCCCTCAAATGCAATTGTGGAGAATTTATCCTCTCAGTTTCTGGTACCTTACAGAGGTGTAAGTGTGACTCAGATTTTGAAAGTTTGTAAATCTACTCCTGAAATTTTGATCTCTTTCAACTTTAGTCACTAAGTGAACTACATTAATCTTCCTTTAGAAAGTGTTCATCTCAAATGCTTTCCACTCCACTTTCCTTCCAGAAACCTGTAACTTTATGCTTCTTTCACAGTAATCATATGAGTTCACTCAGTGGTTCAAACTGTAGCATCCCAGTATATTTTAGTCCATGGGCTACATTCCCAAAGGAAAAAGCTGAGAGCTGTAGCACTGTAGAGTCAGTGGTGCTATTCCAGGAACATTTAATGTCCTCAGAAGGACACAAGTTTTTCTAGTAAAAATCAAATTTGTGGATCATTTAAATTTCACAGTTACCAGCACTTGGCAGATAGTGAGTTACAAAAAACCTGAAATGTCTTTCCAATCTTGAATCTGCTTCTCCATGCAGATGACCTCCTCCCAAGAAACACAGAAACATTCCCTTTCCCCTCAAATACAAAATGTACAACTCCATAAGGGATTTACAAAAAATTTTGAAACTCCATGTGAAGCAACCAAATGTAAAGGCTATCTGCACCAACTGGGTAGTTTCTCAATGATTTATTTGTTTATGTGAGTCAAGGGTCGCCAGCTCTCCCTGAACTACAGACTGCTTGTCAAAATACCAGCCTGGGTAATGGGGGGCACCTGTAGGCAGCTGGGGCTGGGAGCTCCTAAGTGAGCAGTTTGCTGGAAGAACATTAATTTAATGCACTGGGGACTGAGAGCTTTACTCCTGTAATAGGTTAGGCTAGGGCTGCAGTGAGTTCTCAGAGTGACCTGGGCATACTACTTTCTTACTCCCACATTCCTTTCATGCCACTGGCCAATTTCTTTGTTGATTAATATGTACTCAAAGGAACTGGCATCTCCCACTACAGGAACTTAAGAAGGACCCAGTGCTTTTTGTCATGTGGTTCTCTATAGCAATTCTAGCTGCCTTAAGATCTGTGCACAGGATCCAGACCTGTTGCTACTGTGCACGACCAGAGTCAATGAATGACCCTCTAGATAAAGTCTTGGGAAATTGGATAGGTGCATAGAAAGCAGTCCTCAAGGCTCGCCCACTCTAGGGGCAAAAAGATGCATCAGCAAATGGTAAAAATGGTAAAAATCTTCAGAAGTTCCACAGGAACAGGTCAGTTGTATATTCAAATAAGTTTCATACAATTCTTGAATATTTTAAGATGGTTATAAGTCCCCAAACAAGAAACTGCTATTTTTCCAAAACTTTAGCAAGTCTTGAAATGAATAATTATAGAACTGAATGACAATATGAACAGCCCACCCCATTTATAGCTTGTTATTTTCCAGCTGAGCAGCTGCATGTGGAAATGATCTCAATGGACTAATCTCATATTTTGTGAAAAAGTATATTTCTTATTTGTTTTGGGTGTTCTGCCTTTTTATTCCAGTGAATATCACCTTCTACTCAAGCTAGGCACAAGAAGAGCCAAATATTTCAGTCTGTTTTTTTTTCCTCTCATCAATACTTATCACCTTTCTCCTAATTCCTTTCTTTTTTCAGGACAAAACCGCAAACCAGGACTTTGACAGCACTCTCCATGGAGGGATCTCTCCATGCTCAGTAATTCACTTGGCTATTGGAGACAGTATAATGCTGTTTATATTTTTTCCTTGTATATATGTGTGTGTGTGTAATATAGACATTTATGATGTGTACATCTAATTATCTTTTTTGTACTGACAGCTCAAAATTATAATCACAAATGTGAATAAGTGTTTTTCTTGCAGTAATATATTTTCTTGCATTTTCAAGATATTCACTATCTATTTCATAGATAATTATGTTCTCCAGTCTCCTTTAAAACTAAATGTTTTCAGCCACTTTGGCTTCTAAGAAAACTATGTAATGATTTCCTCTGCAATTTTTGTTTTATGAAAACTCAACCCTCTTACCAGTTCATGAGTATATGTAGTACACAACACACAGGAGTTTGTCACTCTAGTAGTAACTCTTCTGCCATTTCATCCCACCTCTTTGCTTCTTCCATATTCATGTGGTTGTTTCTAAAGTGAATACTACTCAATCATGAAAGTATTTCAGCCCAAGTTCTGCTTTGTTCCAGTAAATAAAACAGGTAGGGGGCTAAATACCTGTTTGATTTTCTCTCTAAATAGCATAAAAATAGATGCAGAGCAATTCTCATTTGTAGAAGTCTAATACTATTTTTAAAAAACTTTTAATCAGATTCCTTTAATAATTGATTATGGCAAGGAGTTCCCAAAATTAATTTTGCCCTCAAAATCTTAGATGAATGTTGACAATATTAAGGTTTCTAATAATGCATAAATTCAAATAGTGAGAAATAAAGCCTCTGGGAGGCTTTGCTAATTAGGGGCTTTGCTATTTTATATAAATGATTGAATTATGTGTATAGTGATCTATGGAAGAGCTAGACTTTTACGCAGAGGAGTCTATAGTGGTTTTGCATTGACTGGGGAATACAGTATATAGATATAACAGTTTATTAGGCTGGAAGGTAGAGACCATCCAAAATTTATTTTAGTATCTGGCATTTTGCTCAGCTACCTGCAAGGCTAAGTTGCAATAATACAGCAATCATGGTAATGCTGCTGATCTAAATCTGACATAGGTTTTGATGAAGGGCTAGTCAATAGACTAAGACACCTAGCATGCATAATCATACACAGTCTTAAGAAAATGAAAGCAGAATGTAAGTAAATGCCAAGTATTACAGGCATGTGGAAGGATCAGCTTTTGAGAGCTGCTTTTTCACCACGGTGCTTTCAATTTCTGGTGATTGTCTTGCCAAGTTGAGGAGATTAACAAGATTGTGGGTCTGGAAATTGGTAGCAGACCAGTAGCACTTTTCCCCTGTGTGTTGTAAATGGTAGGGAAGACTTGCTTTGATTACAGTGACAGAAGAACGCCAACTTATATCTTCACTAAGTTTCTTTTGTGCAAAGAGAAAAGTTCCCTACCACAACATCCATGTGGGTTCAGGGTAAAAATCCTAACTAAAAAAGAGAGCTTGAATAGCCTCCTCTGCCTTAACTGACAGGCAACAGATAAATCATAGTCAATAAGAGAAAGTACATGGGGCCCAAAGCCTCCCCTATGGAAAACAGCTGAAGGAAGTGAAGTGGATCATTGTAACAACATTAGCTGCCTCACAGTTTCTTTGATGGTGTTTGGAAGCTTTCCTCAAAGTCCCTGCTGTCAGCATCAGACAACTAATTGATTGAGAAGCTCTGCTTTGTAAGCTTCTTTCCCTTGCATTTGAAGACAATCATAAAAATGAGAAGCAGAACATGCTATAGAGAATAAGCCCCAAAAATGCAAACCCAAACAACTCCAAATACATATTTTCTGATATACCCTTTGATTTTAAGCCAGCTTCATGTTTTTTTGCAACCTGATCCGTGACCACACAGAACTGGTAATACTGCAGTATAGCCCTGCCCTCAACAACAGCTTCCAGTCACCCTGTTTGGAAAGATCCAGTTTTGACCTATGTAGTAACTGCAGAGTAACTCCCTCCTTCTATCTGTCTTCATATTCTTCTGTCATCCTTCCTTCCAAAGTAGTAAAATTTGGGTCTGTGGTTGCCTCAGGAACAGAGGTTTTATTTCAGTGAGTTTCTGCTTCAAAACCAAACCATCCAGCTGAGAAGAAGGCAGGTGTGACCATCCTCCTCCCAGTGCCAAAGGTCCCTTCCATACTTTTCAGACTTCCTGAGTAGGTTGGCTGAGCACACCACAGGCATGAGCCTGTCATTCTCTACTTCCTCAAATCACTGCGTAAAATGGCACAGAGATACCCTTTTTCCTGTAAACCCAAGTGCTGCTCTCTCACTGCAGGTTGACACATGCTAAGCTGTGGGAAAAGTATAATTATTGTTTGAAAAGTTACTCAAGCTTATTTTTTATTTTTTATTTTATTCACATCTTTTTTTTCTTTTTGTGGTTTTATTGTTGTTGGTTATCTGAACTACACAACTATAGAGGCAGGAACTGTTCATCATTTGCTTATGAAAACAAAATTCTCCAGCTCTACTTAAGTTCTCTGTACTTAAAAAAACCCAATGAGAGATGTGTAATACTCTCCATGAGTGATAGTTTCATTCAATTTGAAAAAAAAAAATAAAAATCATCTATTTCTGAAGCACAGATTCCTCCATGGCTGGAAATGAAGGTTTTGCCCACATTCCAATTTAAATTATTGACAGTCTTTCTGTTTATTTCTGTTGGGGGGAAATAGATGGACTAAAATGACATTCTGCATTGATTTATCTTGAATTTACCTTTCTGGCCCTGATCCTTTGACTTTCAACAGTGAGCTCCTTGAGGACCTCAACAAATGAAACTGGTATTTGGGAGCATTCCTGAAGAGACTGGCTGTATTTAAATTCTATTCTGATGGTAAGCTATCCTGACAAATGGGGTATATAAATTGTGGATTTAAAAGATATGCTTTGAGCAAGAATTTTCATTGCTTGCAAGGTACAGTTTCTGGAATCTTCTCCTGGCAGTCTCATTTCTGCTAGTGCTTGCAAAATTAATCGTATACCAACTCTAAAAGTTTGGAGTTTGAACTGAGTTGCATATTTGAAGCTTACCTACTAGCTTTTGGATCTATAAATTATGTTAGACACTTCCCTGAGGTTGTCATTTCATTAGTTTGACTTTGCCTACCCTAAACCAGATTTCAGAAATAGATGAAAATAAGAGAAACCCTGTGGATCTCCAAGGGCTTCAGAATCCCATATTTTTTTCCCTTCTATCAAATCATACCCATGTTTTATTTCCTGCTGTCCTTTGAGCTATTTTCCCAAGAATATTGCTTACTACTATAAACTAATGCTGAACCATTCCATTACATTTACCCAATTATTCAGAAAAAGAGCAGAAAGCCATTCAAATCCAATACAATGATACTCCCAGGATCTGAGTCTTCTCTTGCTGAAGAAGGACACATGGATCTGTGCCCTGTTTCTCTGAATTTGGTCAATTGGATGCCTAGGTTGTGGTCTGATTTTCAAATCCTTCTGTCTAAATTCAGTAAGAATCTGGGGACTCCTCCACATTCATAATGTATCATTGAAAAACCACCCACTGCAGCACACAAAACATTTCCCTTCAGAAATCTACAGATGTCCACTAAAAATTTGAATTCTGAAGCAACTTCCACATCCTGCAATTGGGTGGGGTGCTGTGTGTGTCAGGCAGATTTTTTCCCAGTGACAAATCTCTAGATTTCACAGACCTGTAACATTGCACACAACCAGCAGAAAACTTGCTCCTGACTCCAGTGACATGAGGATGTCACCCTATGGGAAGAGACTTCACTAAATCTTCTATTTTTCAGTAAGCTGGAGTTTCCAAATTCTGTGCACAATAAAGCTCTGGATAATAGCTCTATAAAACTGTCAGGGAAGTCAAAGAAAGAGTAGCATGGGCAAGGAACCTATCTATGCTTAAAGCACCCTGAATTACACAAGAGGCTACTTATAAAATTTGGCATTTTCAGTTCATCATTGATCAGACAGTGATGTATGCAGTATTTAAAAGTGATTGTACATGGCAATGCTCCTTATTTTGGTTGCATTTCACCGCAAGGGTGGAAGTAATTCAGAAAAAATTACAACCAAATAAACAACAATGTCAGTAAAGACAAGCTATAAAGTGGGTTTATGCCAACATTGATGAGATCTGAGAGTAACTTGGGCAGCACTAACCCCACGTCATTCTGGGAACTGTGATAGGCCAAAATGTTAATTCTAAGGATGCAAAGCTGCACCATAAATGTAATCTTAATTTCAATCTCAGATATAAGGTATATGAGTACAGCCCCCCTGTTGCTTCAGCTTCTGCTTATGCACGGAAATACTGGTTTTGGCTTCCTTCTGACACATCCCAGTCACCCATGGCTCATGTGTCACTCTCCTGGCTGTACTCCTGTCCATACAGGTTTTGTTGGCCACTTTGCTGTCAGGCTGCACAACTGGTTCTTGTTCAGCTTGCTCTCCACAAAAACCACCAGGGCCTCTTCCACAGAACTGCTCCTCAGCTGCTTTGTCTTCCCCTTATCTGGTCACTTGTCTGATGTGGTCTTGTCCTCACGTGTACTGCGTGTAGGTAGATTGCTTCCTCTTCCTCAGCACACCACAGAGTCAACGTGGCTGCAGATCTTTGTGGAACTAAGACCTTGGAAAGTAAAGTTTTTATGCAAGCACCTACCCACAATCTCCTGGTCTAATTATTAATGGTTTCATTCTGGCTAATGTCTTAACATTAATGCTGCACTGAAAATACTACTCCACTGCTCACATTTAATTTCCATCACTACTTAGAAAAGATGCTCATTATATTTTTAATATATTTGGGCAATGGCCAAGTATTACAAACATAAATGTAAAATGCTAATTGATAAAAACAATTCTTTCCAAAGGGGCAGCTTTTTTGTCTAATTACCTCTTTCAATTAATTTATATTGCTGATCCTGTGATCATGTGTAATACAACATCCACCCACGGCAGGACTCCCTCAAACCCTACTAACGACATTCCTTATGGCTGTCCTGTTAATGCCAACAACAACACTGTGTAATGAGTATCAACCAACTTAGCTACAGGCCTTTTTACTCCTACTCTTCTATTTCCTAACTGCAAATTATTATTTGTATATGAGCTGCATTCAGTGATATCTTTGTCCCTGCCTGTCTCTACCAGAGGCTGCTCCTGGAACATGGATTATTACTAAAGCAGAGGAGGATGTGGGTGGGTGGGGGAATGCAGATGCCAAGGGAACAATCTCATGGATGCTTATTTCTCAGACAGTTCAGTGGCATGGCTGAGCTCATTTTTGTGACCTTGTGTGCCATAATGAATGTAGTCCTCTGATGGAACTGATGAAATGGTTAAAGAATAATACTTAATCTATTATTGTGCTTCATTGACAAGGAGCTACGGAGCTGTGGATGCTAAGGAGCATCAAGAAGTCACTGGCTTGAGTCAGAAACTTTGCAAGGTCTCTAGCAAGGACGAAGCTGCTGAAGTGCTAAGGGAAAGAATTATACAAGAAAAATTCTGGTGGCAGATGTGCAGTTACTTCCCTTAAACAACTTAGCTATGTCATCAGAAGTCAGCAGAATGTCAGCAGCTGTGTTCATAACAGTGGTCTGGAGCAACTGGTCATCCACCTCCTCTGGGTTCCTCTGAATACTCTGATTTAATTACCAAAGTCCACTAGGGGCCTAATTAAATCACTGTAGGTACAGAAAATTTTCCCAGTATGAAGATCTTGGTGTCTAACTCTAACCTGACTCCGGCATTTTCCTGCTCACGTCTTCTGAAGGGTGGCCTCCGAGGAGGATGCTCTGAGGTCACCAAGCACATGCTGGCAGACACGATGGGCAGTGCTCTGCCCATCTACACAGCAATCTAGTGCCTTGAGCCCTGTTCCCTGCTCAGTTTGATGGGCTTCAGTCTCCCAGCTCCCAATCGTCCCTTCAGGCCACAGCTCTAACACCCAGTATATGAAAAATAACTCACCTTTTGCTTTTTACGATCACTCCTCTTATGAGTCATTTTTTTACTTTCATCTTCATACACCAAAACAAAGTCAATCCTTCGCTGCCCATCTTTGAAGAACAAGGAGTCAGGCTTATCGTCAAAATCCACCTGAAAGGCAGGTGGTATAGGTTAATACGAAGATCTTAACTTGCTAGTTCCTTACTTGCCCTTTACACAGTATTTCAATGAACACAGAAATTCAACCTAAATCAGCCTTGTGTAACAGGAAGCCCAAAATGACAAAGTTGCACATAACAAAATGAAGAAAAATAAATTATCCAGAGGAATTTGTCAGGTCTCTGCATGACATCAAATCAATAGAACCTTGACTTAACTTTCATGTTTAAAAATGGTACATTAGATTTTCATAATGAGAGAAGCACTGGGATGCAGCTCCAGTACCAAATAATGCATCTGTCTAGTAATTTGTACACCATCATAGACATATCATTAGATAGTTTGTCTACAAGATTGTTGTTGCCTGATGTGAGTCTCAGAATTAGTGCATTCCCATCTGTTCCCTTACCTGAACAAATGTAAGCATCTCTGCAATTACTAAAAAAAATAAAAAGAAGCAGTAGTTTCATGCATGCTTGTACTTAAACCCACCACTGCCAAGAGAACAAAGAACATGATCAGAGCAGAGATGAGATCTCCAAACAGACACATATTATGTGGATTTATTTCTCATTTTATCTGCAACAATTCAGCAAGCAAAAACACATTGTTGTGTGCCACACATCCATCATGTTATAACAGATGCCAAAATCAAAAGTTTTAATATATCCATAAGCCATTATCTAGTCCCTGGAGGAAAGTAGGACAGATTGTCATATCCACTAATAACATCTTAATGTGTTATTTCATGCGTGAAACGATACAGATACTTTGGTGACAGGGAAACCTGAACACTTGAATAATGATTTTGTAGTTTCTTAGAGTACTCGGGGGGTAATATCACACATTACCAATCCCCTCATTTCAGGTAATATGCAGCTGTAATGTTATCCAAATCATGCTATGTAATGTGCACCAGCCTCTCAGGTATTTGGCCAAATCCATCCGTGCTGTTAACGGAGGCGGCGCCACTGGAGTAGATAGTGGATAGTTTCCTTCAGAAACCTGAAGTGGGACTCAGCATGGCACTAGAGACAGGAACATCTCCAAAGCTGGCCAGGCTCCCACACAGAACTGCAGAGGAGCCTTGGCCTCCAGCTGACTGGGCATGGAGGGTTGGCCAAGCCAGGATCAGATCAGGAAAAATGACACAGAATAATCTCTTGCATTTGCTGTGGATGTGGCAATGATTCCCAGATGTCCCATCCCTGGAATTCCCCTGTCAGACCAAATTTCGTGAGACATGCCAGGTCAGGTTTTGGAGGTCTAGGATGTCTGGTCCAAGAAAGACCATGGAAATGTGGTTATGAAATGTGGTCTATGGGGTTAGAAACCCCAGCAGTGCAGCCTGAAATTGTTGTTCTTCAACTGTGAAGAACCAAGAAGAATGTCAGTCTTCAGCCAGGAACACCCAAGTTCCAGGGAGCATATAGTGTTTTAGGAACCACGTGTCAGTTTTTCCAAAACAAATATTCTCATGGTTTTTTTTTTTTTTGGCAAAACCTCTCCCTGTAGATTATTTTGTAGCTGTTTATTGGCTGAACCAAAACAGGCAACCAAGAGGTGTCTCCCTGTAATTATGACAAAATTTCCATATTTTAAATAAACTCAGGGGAGTTTAAACTCACAATTTTTTTATGTTGCATGTGCAAAGGCTAGGACCTGCTGCAAAGAGGTCCTGTTGATTTAGTTGCTTCAAAAGTCTGAGCAGATTCTTGAACAGAACAGTTTTCTTTGAATGCCACCTGTGTGTTGGGACTTGTGACAAACCTGACAGCAAGCAGCTGCTGACACACATACACATATGGCCAGTATACACACATTCTGCATGTCAGTTTCACAGCCTGGGATAGGATTTAGAGACTACCTAGGCAGTCACCAAATCAACATACAATAGCATACTGTGAAAAAAGTTTTAGGAAAAAAAAAGGCATTCAATTTCCAGATGACATCACCAGACCACAATGACACCGAGTATTTCTACCAGCCAAAGCAAGTCAGAGGTGTGAATTTCTAAATTCTTGAGAGATGAAGTTAGCATAGTCCTATCAAGAAATCAGAATTAGCTGTGACAAGCTTTCCTCCTGCTGAGGACTAGTCACAGGTGTAAAACACAGCTTTGCTGCTGTAATTTCCAATCTCATTTAAAACATAACCACGATGATTTCATGTTGACAAGATTGGCTATAGGGAGGAAAGCACCACCAACAGCCAACAGCCCCTGTTGGGACACAGCCTGGGAACTGCTGCTGTCCCCTGGGACCCCGGCGGGCTGTGGCACACCGCGGGCTCCGATGGCTCCGTGCTGCAATGTGGAAACACAGGGCCCAGATCCTGTGAAAATCAATAACAGGGGGAAGGGTTGCCACTGCATAAAGCATGAGGCCTTTTAACTGGGCTTTTTCCTCTTTGGAATCTTAGAAACATCATTATAATAACTTCTGTTAAAAGACACACAGTTTAGTTGTGAAAGGCCAGCACTCAAAAGCATAAAAGTAGTAATAGCTTTAGCTTTTTTTTTCACTGCAGCTTTTAGGACATTTTCTGATATGACCTGTCCTCAGGATAAAAAAAGACAAGGAAAAGAGCAAACATCAAATTAAGTTTTGATAGAAGAGGATTTGATGGCAATTTGTGTTTGCATAATTTCACACAGTAGTTTTCCTTTAAATGTAGTAATTTTTAAGCTTAAAAAAGCAGTGATAACTGGATTATCATTAATAATTCATCATATTAAAAGCTATTATACAATAGTTATAAAAAAATTATAAAATCTGCCTGTTAAACCAGCATTCTGACTGATAAATTTACTTACATAAGTGTTGTCATTCACACGTGTGTATAACTGTTATTATATGTATACACCTTTATCTCTCTCTTTCACACACCATGCACATATAAATTGAATATAGCTGAAAGATTAATAAATGTCAGACTGCTTGAATCCAGACACACAGAAGTTTATACATATGGAGTTAACTTCTTATATATAATCTCCATTGCTTTTAATCACAAGGACATTGTTCAGTTGGCCTTTTCATAGACATTTTATGTATCAATAAAATAATAAAGAATTGACTCATGAAGCCTGAATACTTAAGAGATCAAATTTAGACCTACACAAATAGATTTTTATGCAGCTAATAATAAATTAAATATTGGTCAATTAAAATTAAGAAGTAAAATGTAAAAGAGAAGGTAATAGCCAAGTTTCCAACAGCCACATTAACTTACTTGTGTGGTGTATTTTGTAGTCCCTAATGGATAACTGGTAATGAAAAATCATATATTATTCAACATAACTACCCAGGGAAAAACAGGACTGGAAACCAAAAAGATGTAGTCTACTTTGAAGTTAGCATTTCCTTTGAGACAATGTTTGTTTTGGAGTTTTTTTAATATGTAATATTATTTGACAGTTTTACAAATGTTACTATCATACCAGTGCACACAAGCTTGCACGCATAGACAAATTAATGGGACTGAAATTTCAATACACAGTTTTTTAAAGTATCAGTAGCAAACTATAGCTCCAAATAATGAACAGGCCCATTGGCACCTCATCTAAAATACAGGACTATTTACTGCACTATTTAATTTTTTACCCTTGGCATAAATACGTTTTTAAGTACTGATGGAGGCAATCAGTTGTGCACTCTAATGTTTTAATAATACCCTAATGAACAGCAGGTTAATACTGATTAACACCACTAATAAAAAAATATATATCTATATAGCTGTGAAATACTAATTATGCTTAGCACACAATCTGCAGCCTTTAATAACTGTCTAAGTGCTGCACAACCAACTGCTTGCACTATCAGCTGCTTTTTTAACAGAAGGAATCTGAAGGAGAGAAGGACCTGGCCAGGATTAAAGTTTTTTGTAACACTGAGGTTGCAGTTCTGTGGGCTAGCCCAGAGCAGCATGGCCACGTCCATGCAGCTGCACCTCTGTGCTTCAGTTCGCAACAGCTCAGAGCAGGTGAGCATCACAGGCTCTTCAGGGAACAAGACCTGTGGCAACGGAAAGCCCAGAAATGTTTGTCATGCAGACACCACCTCCTCACCAAATGCCTTCTCCACGCTGGGGCCCTCAGTGGCAGCAGATGCACAGCCAGGGGGTGGGTGTGGGATCCTGCTGCGGCTGGGAAGCGCTGCACTGCTGCAGCCACGCTGAAGGCGCTGGTCATAAGCACTCCTCTGCCAAGCACCCCCTTCCCTTACACACCTTATCTTCCTACCCCCCGAGTGTGTCCCCCTGCGGCCACCTCGGCAGAGGAATAAGGAGCTCGCTGCCCTCTGGTAATCCAGCACAAGCCATCACCAGCCTACAGCACCGGCTCTCGCAGACCCCGGGACACAGCAGCACTTGGAACAGGGGCAAGTGGAGCAGCAAGACAAGCTTGCCCCAGCACAGAAGGCTGAGGGAACGGTTTTGGCTTCAAATGCCCACACCATGGGAGGTCCCCTCGGCCCCTGGACTCAGAATTCATCAGGAGGGAGACTTCTGTGTGCCCTCCACACGTCTAACCAGGCTCGCTGGTGTCTAAGGGAGCTGCCGCGTCTCTCTGAGAGCTGCCCTGTAGTCATGGCTACACGCGATGCCTGCAGGAGAGTGAAGGAGAACATGCAGGCGGAAAGCTCCTTTCAGCAGCAGCCGTGTTCCAGGGAGGAAAAATGGCTTGGCACTTCCAAGAAACCTGCCTCATTTTTCCAGACTTCTCTAGGCATGACATGGTTAAATATTCAGTGGGGATAATGGTGGGATGGACAGCACAGAGACAAGCAGGAAGAAAAATATGTGCACAGGAATTGCAGCTATTTATTGTTTGCTATACCCTGAACAAGCACAGTATTGTAAGCTGGATTTTTTTAAATAACAAGAGGTTCAGCAGGAATGATTTATCTAACTGGAAAGATGAAAGAAGTGCTTTATTTTGCCTGCAAGAGTCTTTGGTGTGACTGCCAATAGCGCCAAATGTAATCATTACTGGAGGGATAAACTACTTGTCTGCAACCTCACATAATTTTCAGATATGCTTCAAAATAGCATCCTGCAGCATGCCAGTGAATAAATCAGTACTGGGAAAGAAGAGAGCAGAGCAGAGCCTGTGCAACATTGCCTCTGCTGATAGGCACCTGCAAAAAATCCTCCCACTGGGGCACAGGGACAGGCACAGGGGGATCTGCAGGTTGCACTTCAGTCATGGGTTTTATGAAGGGAAAAATTTCAGAATGACTAATTAGGAGCACAGTTATTTCTCTCTGTCTGCTTCAGGGAACATTAAAACAAGTAAATAAAAAGAAAACAAACTATATTACCAGGGTATCAGGAAACATAATTATTTATAAATGACTTTGAGATCATCTGAAGAAAATGTTGCAGAAATACAAAGTTCTTCTTACTGTCACAACCACATAAAAAGATTTTTTATTGCTTTAGGTTCTGAGCAACCAATAGAGACAACTTTCTGACATTAATACCAACACAAGCATTTATTTCTGGATTATATTGATATACATAATATAGAAGATAGTACTGGAAGATGTAAGTTTATTTGCATATTGCATAATAATGTTGGTCTGTCTCTGGAGGACCATAAAATTTCTGTGCCTTTAATATTTTCCTTTATTATTCATATTTTTAATAACAACAGAGGACTGTTTTCGTTCTCTTTTTAGCAATAATGTGAATATTAGCAAGAACTTCATCAGAAGAAGATTTTTTTTTTTTTTATTTCCTCAACATGCAAAGGAATTTCAGCTATGTAACAAACTGAAATAAACTGAGACTAAAGAGAAGTAGAAAAAATATGGGGTGTCACTACAGTCATGCATTTCTGTCCGCAGAAAGCAGCTGGTAACCGGCCAGGCATTGGGATGCCTTGTCCCCTGAGCTAAGTTTGGACCAGACACCCACTTGACTTCCTGTCTGAGTGTCAGGTTGCTGCTGCCTGCAGGAGGAATTCCAGTCACTCCTGATTAGAGGGAGACCAAACAGCCTTACTTTTAAAGAAAATGAAGAAAGTGCTCATTGAGAACATGCTTTTCAGCAACTCCCACCTTTCATGGGATGCAAGAGCTGGGAAATTCTTTCTTTTGAACTTCCCAGAAGCCTTCTTGCAGAAGAAATTGTATATGAGGGGCAGCAGTAATAGAAAGTTTGAAGAAGTTAACCTTGTCCCTGCAGATATTCACTCTCAAAAAAATCTATTTAAAAAATCTCTAAAAAATCTTGTTACATTGTAATTATCAATTCAAATTATCTACCTACAAAGCAGACAAGTTGCAAAATGAAACAACTAAAGGAAAAGCCTTGAATGAATGCTGTCTGTGCAGTTTTGTCTTCCTTGTACATGTTGTTTATGATACATTATTAAATTGTAGCATCACATGCCATATTTCTATGCTCCTTGTAGCAGCTATGGAATACTCCTTATTATCATCTTCATTTAATGTCTGATGTTTTTTTTTTTAAAATTGTTTTGTTTGTTTGTTGGTTTGTTTGTTGGTTTTTTTTTTTTTTTTGTTACACCTCATCTAAGTAGTTTAAATGCTTAAAATAGGGATTTTCTTCTGACTATGCTTTTGGTATTCTCCTCATAGAATCTCAGAGTTTTGCAAGTGTTGCGAAACTTAATTTTAAAAGATCCCCCAGGACAGAAAGCAACAGTATAACTCTCATTTTAATGGTCATAAGGCATCTAAACATCTATGCCAAAACCTGTTCACTGTCTCCTAAATTTGGAGTTACAGCTTTATACAGCAGGACAGTGACATCTTTCCAGAGCGCTTAGCAATTCTCTCTCTTCAAAGAGCAATACACTAAATTCTGGGTCCACATGTCACTCTCTTGCAAGTGCAAACAGGGCCATAGATGTTCTCCTTCAGCACACAGGAAAAAGAAAATCTGGCTGCAACTCTACAAGTCTTGCACAAAAATCCTTTAGCAGGGGTTGCCCAATTATCTAGGACCAAACTCAGTTTTTCTAGTGGTAAGAGCCTTTCATTCCTTTGCTGCAATTTCCTGCCACATTTAAAGCTTTATGAAGTACCACAAACAATATCCTCACAGATTTTTGGCTTTTTGGAGATAATTGTCCTATTCATGTGCCAAACGAGGCAGGGATTTTGTGGCAAACTTAGCTTATGATCCCATAATTACAGAAAGCACCATAAGAAGAACAGGACTGTTTTTATTAGCCAATAGTTTACTTAGTTTTGGGTCCTCAGAAGAACTTGTAAAATCAAATTTCCAGAATACTTCTGGCTGCAACACACAATCTAAGTTTAGACAAAAGGCACAGTACTTCCCTTCCATTCAACTGTTTCAGGTCAGGCTTCCTCTTCAGTCTCTGCTGCTAGCTACAATTATCCCTAATGCCCTTAGCAGAGGTTCAGCAGATGTCAATTTTTTCTGTCTCCTCTGACCCACTGAAATGATCTAGATCAACAAGGAGGACTTGGCACAGAAGGAGCAGTGCAGAGATGCTGCTGAAACCGAGAAGAAACTACAATTGCTGGTAAACATGAGTAACCAAAAATAAAAATCAATTTTGACCATCAATTTTCAGTAGAAATAAAAATAAATTCTACCAAGACTGTTCAGAGGAGACTGTTCTAACCACAAGGTATATGACATTCCAGCTGTTTTGATGCTATTTCACTTCATAAAAATATGTTAAAAAAATCAATGAACCACAAGGAGACTGTAAGAAGGATTTTTATAATATCAAAGTCTAGGCACTCAATTGGGAAATGGAAGCTCTTGATTGCACCTCATGCTTCAAAAATGTTTAAACAGCTTCAAATTAACACCTTGCTGCAAAACACAGGGTCAGGGGAGGTGAGGATGTCCACCTCCCAGAAGGAAACCAATTTCCAGTTACTTTGGATGTTGGTTTCCTATGAGATCTGAGGCAGGGGCTCTTGAGCTACAGCCAGCTCAGCCTTTCAGCTGAAGAAAATCTTAGGTGAGCTGGGAACCTCGAACTTTGGACAAAAGGAACGGACTCCTCCAGGTCTTTCTTTTTCTTGTCAGTTCAATCTCTGGAGTAAGGAATTTCTTGGTGTCTCCAAGCTTTCTTAGAGCTTTATTGGATATGTGTGTTTATATGTAGGGTGTGTTCAGAACTACTTATTCTTGTATACACACAGAGAAATCCTATACATTTGTGAACAAAATTATATAGAGAGAGGAGGTGTATGTGTAATATACCAGTTTAGAGTGAATTTATATGGGTCACTTATAATTGAGTCCAGTCCTGTGACAACCTGTGCTTTCAGAGCTGAGCCAATTACTTCAGGTACCTTTAGGGAAATGGGGATTACAGCAACTTAGATTTAATCACAAAGATGAACTGCATGTGATGCAAATGCAAAGGAATGCTAGTCTTCTGGAACAGCTAGTGGACTGCTGCATACCTACAGGAAAAAATTTTACAGGTATTCACAGTTAAAGTAAACAGGTACCCACCCATTCAGGAGTATGAAGGTTTTGCTGGTCTGGCACAGTTCCATAAGTGGGAATAATCACCTGGTTCAGTTCCAAGACTAAAATGAAATATAAAAAATGAAAAAAATTTAGCATTTTTTGTGGTATGGATTTTTCATGGATTTATAGTTTTTAATTTTTTTTTATTAATGCTTTGTGGAGAAGCCAGTTCATTGTACTTATTTAGTGTTCAGAAATGGAACAATTGTGTGTCACACTTCAGTTACAATCAGCAGGTAGCAAGAAAGTGAAACACCAGGATGACAAGGTAATGCTAGGAGGACATTTTGGCAGTGATGCATCCCTATAGTGATGCAAACAGCATCCCTTTAGTAGTATTTTACTAGTTATTTAGTATTTCAGAAACTCCATGGACATTGTAGCAGAAGTTTATTTTTCAATGAATAAGGGTACCAGAACTGGCTCCAGCTGTGCAAATAACCTAGCTCATGCTGGCTGTACTTGTCAGGCAAGAACAATACTGTCTCCTCTGACCCACTGAAATGATCTAGATCAACAAGGAGGACTTGGCACAGAAGGAGCAGTGCAGAGATGCTGCTGAAACCGAGAAGAAACTACAATTGCTGGTAAACATGAGTAACCAAAAATAAAAATCAATTTTGACCATCAATTTTCAGTAGAAATAAAAATAAATTCTAACTAGCAAAGAATTTTTCGCAAGCTTTGGAATGGATGTTATACAGGCGGCGATACTGTAACATTCACTCAGTAACACATAACCTAAAAACACACCTACAACAACGGTGGCTATTGATGCCTTAGCTACTCCTCACCTGTTCCATCAATACCTGTTAAAAACCAACAACCTGGAAACTGAATTGGATTCCTGAAAATACAACATGAACTAAAAATGGCTTTGTCAAATATGCTACTGCATGAAGCCATTATCAAGCACACTGGGAAGGCTGGTTACCAAATCAAGCCCCGGATAACACACAAATTCATCCTAATAAAGCCACTGGAAATAAGGTACAGAAGCTCTACAATTGCTGCAAGGTATTTGCAAGGTTTTTTTTCTTCACAACTATTTTTGTCTCTTAAGGAGAAGTCAGATAGCATCCTGAGGCTGAAGATAACATCAAGTAGCTGAAGGGAGCAGGCTGCTTCCTGCCTATGCATGGCAGGCAGATGGATCCCATCCGTTATTTTTAGATCCTTAAAGCTGAGATGTATCTTAGTTAAGTCTGTCCTGTGCTGAGGAGGGGCCATGGATAACACAGGTACCTAAATGCCACTGTTGTCTGGAAAGGATAGCCTCAACCTACCAAAAATGCTATAATACTAAAAGAAGATCTCCAAACTCTAAAATAATTAGCCTGTAGTACTTTTAGAATAGCTCAACACCCATTAGATACAAAGCTGGACAGAACAAAACTGATATGCCTGGTTACGCTTTGGTTTAGTTTAGCTTTTTTGTTTGGTTGGTTTTGGTTTTTTTTAGTTTAAGACCTTCATTGCTAAATGGCCAAATTTTCATGACATTTTAAGAAGCTCTTCTTTTTCACTGATGATGATGCTAATTTATACCAGCTGAAGATATGTCAAAACATTTAGAAAAGGAGCACAACAAGATTAGAAATCAACAGGACTCTCTCATGGCCTCCAAGCAAAAAATTCTTGTTTAAATACCCTTTCATAGAGTTTGGTTCCAGGTGGTGTTGTCAGTTTCCAGATCTCTGCTCTGGTGATAGTAAATGCTCCAGGGAGAAGACAAAAGCAAGTCAATGAATCTTTTCTGAAATATTAGAGCCGTAACCCAAATAATCAACCTTGAATAATCAAGGTCTGTGAGCTCTCAACAACATTACGGTGTTCAGAAACATTCTCAGAATTAAAAAAAGAGATGGAAAACATGGACTAGTGCAGCATTCAAACGTCACATGGTGAGACAATAACATTCAGACTCAGAAAACACTGCACCTCTCAGCAGCTACTGAAAAATTGCTGAATTGTGCATCATTATTGTTTAATGAATTCAGCTTAGACTAGGGTGAGAAGGGAAATATATATTCTCAATGTCAGTGTAATGGGCATCTCCCTGCATTTCCTTCATTCCTTATTCTGTGTGTGGACACAAAGATATCCAGATACAAAGTATTTCTGAAAACCCACAGAAGAAGGAATGTTTCTGCCCACATGTAATGGGCAGAGGGAAGTAGAAATATAAGCATCTTGTTTTGAAATACAAACAGTTGCTCTGACACTCAGTGTGCCATTACACAAAACATGCAGGTGTGGACACAGACATGAAGACTCTCAGCCACTGAACTGCAGAATCAGGAGTTAAAGTTGCCTTTTTGCTAAGCAACCACACCCCCATCATCTGTCCTGTCTAGAAAACCCTTCAGACAGAACTGAAGCTGGAAACATGGCATTCACAGGAACAATTCCAATTCTCCCAAATCCTGATGGATCTGGGGCTGGTCAGAAACATCCTTGTGAAATTTGTGAGTACAACTTGCCTCTGCATCAGGGTCTCTATCGAGAATACCTTCCTCCTGATAGCTGAATGTCATGGAAACTTTAGAATTGGGTCCATATTTAATGTCTTAACACATTTGTACTTGAAATAATGCTCAAGAGAGTCCCTGGGTCATTGTCCCTGTGGAAGAACTTATGTAAAAGGGGCCTGCCACTCTCACCTCTCATGGGACAATAGTCAAGAACTTCTCTCAAGTTAATTACAGCTTAATGTTCATGTGAATCCAAAATTACAAAGCCTTGACACTGCTTGAACGGGTGCTCAGATAAGATTTGTTTTGACAGTGGTTTGCAAGGGCAGCTGTGCCAATTTGTGCACTTTTAATCTGGAAGAGACCATTCCAGTCTCTCAGAAATACAAAAACAGTACTGCAAGACTCAGCTTTGCCAGAAAAAGGTGCACCCACACAAAGTGCTTTTTATACCCCCAAAATCACTTAATTTATTTCTACCTCCCCTCCAGCATTACGGTAAAGTCAGTTTAAAGTATGAAGAAAAAAAATTCTGCAGCATAAAAGTTTGGTGCTAGACACTAAGAAAAACTTCCTAACAGCAAGAACAGTAGAAGAGAGTGCCTGGGAAGGCAGGTGAGGTCATGTGAGGTCTTTAACATCAGAGATTTTTTAGTACAGATTAATTAAATATCCTGGAACAACTTAGGCCATGTTGAATCTGGTGTCACCTTTACGAGGTTGGCCAAGAGGAGTTTTTGAGGCCATTCCCCACACCCAGCCTCCTCTGACTGTAAGTCTGGTCCTAGGGTTCTCATAGCTATGTCTAAGGGTTGCTGTGCTGAGATTTTATATTAAAATCATAGTTCTTCTTACTCATATCTTCTTCAGAAATGTTATCACTCCTGTTAATATTTGAGTTACAGCACATCAAGGCTAGATGTTTGTGTTCTATCACCCAGCCAATTAAAGCAAAGGAGGTGCAAGGGAACAAAGAAATCTACTGGCTTTGTGCCAGCATACTCTGATTTTAATTGACAGATACATCAAATTCTGTCTTCAAGCAATCCAACAACATATGCTTTTGTCAGAACACTTAACCTAATTTCTTTCTATTGTGGTCATAGTTCTGAGTGTCTGCTCAGTGATACCAGTTGGTCTTTGATGTAGTCCTCTCAAAAGATGCTGTTGTAAAAACTTTAAGTACTGAAAATGTGCAAACTACTTTACAAGAACATCTTGGTGGTATTTGAGCTGCCAACATGTCAGTGGTATTTCCAGCTGCCTGGAGATTGTTCTTCAGTGCAGGACACTGAAGTGAGCTGTCAACACCTCACACCTTCCCTCAAATATGCCTATGCAGAAGTACTAAGTAGTCCATGTAAATCCCACACTACTTTTTTATAACCTATGTGTATCCCATTCTTTTGGCCAGGCCATGGGAAATGAATCCTGCTGTTTATTCTACCAGTAATATTTTTAATGAATATTCTCTACAGCTTTGCTTTCTCACAGGTGAGCCAGAATTTCTGACCGGATTGAATAAAGACTCAGGAAATTCCTTGACAGCCAACACAAAATTTCCAGTCTTTTCATTAGTTAATTGGTATTGACAGTGGATAGTTTTGTAAGTTCAGTGATTTCTCACTGCATAATTCAAATTTAAAGGCTTTAATGAACATTTCTACTAGCAATCTCTACCAATTGCTATAGGTGAGAGGCTATGGCCTACTGACAGACATAGAAGCTGTTCTTTCTTTGTAAGAACTATAAAGAAGAACTAAATATAAAGAATTAAACCTTTCCTTGGGGTCTGAATAGCGAAATATATATAATGGAAGCTGTCCAAAGCATATGCAGTAGGGATGAAAGATTTTTTGCATCTGTAAATTAAAGAGGACTGAGAATGCAAAAAAAAAAAAAATCAGTATTCAGAAGTAAAAAAAGATGCTTTCCAAAAAATTTAATGACAAGAAAACCACAAATGTTGGATAAGCTGATATTTGAAAAGACCACTGGGCTTGGCTTTGTAACAAGGACATTGTCAAACAGGCCTGAAGATGCCAATCTTTTTGTGACAAAGAAATTCTTTGTATTTGCAATCATCGATTTCCTCTCAAATGAAAACAGCCAGAGAGGAAAAAGATCTGCAGCACTCTTTTGGCTTGTAAATAACTTGCATTAACTCAAATTAGTAGGCACCAAATTATGCTGAGAAGTCAAGAAGATTTTACAACACTAAACTCATAGTACCTGGTATCTAACAAGCCAGTGAGACGTTGTTAAGGACAAGATCTCAGCCCTAGCACTGAACATGGTACCTCATGAGCAACCAAAAACTGCAAAGCCAGGAAGTGACATCTGGAATCCCCAGGCTTTGCTATGGAGATCACATCACCTCTCACCTCCCACAGAGTTTTGTGAGAGTGCTGACAGTCTCTCACAGAATTTTTAAACAGTCTAAGTCCCAGATCCTCTTCTTACAGAGAGAAAGATAAGCTAATAGAACACTGCACTCTCCTCAGTACAAACCCGATGTGCTCCAGAACATCTGCTCAGCCCCTCCGTGGAACTTGCCTGCAGCATGGAGGTCCTGCTCCCCAGAG